TCTACTAGGTATGAAGTGTTTTCTCACTGTGGCTTTGATGTGAATTTCTTTGATGTCTAACTGTTAGGAAGGGAAGGACTCGGCTTGGTGTCACAGGGAAGTCAGATACAGTGAGATGAGAGGCTAAAGTCAAGGAAGCAAAGTAAGTTTTAATACACTGCAGAGAGTAGCAGAGCAGGCTTGCCTGAGACAAGACAGGTAGGTGTGGATGCTCATTCTGAGTCTTCTTTTATGTGGTTTTTGGCCGGTCAGAGAGGTCCTTGATTGACAGCTGTCAGTTCTCTAGGCTTGTTCTGATTGGTGAAATGGGGACAGGGGCTGTGGTGTGCCTGTACTTCTGATGTTTCTTATCTGGGGGAACCCCGGACATTTCCCGAGTCACTCTTAGACCCTGTGGCTTTATTTGATTAACTCTTTGAATCATTTCTGGCTCTCTGGTTCTGTTTGATCAACTCCCTGAGTCATCTTTGGGGGGGCCCTTTCTCTTTTTCATCCTGCTCATTTCTGTCTTTCTGCCTAACATAATGATGAGCACCTTTTTATGTACCTTTGTCCATTTGTTTATCTTCTTTGGGAGGAATGTCTCTGCAGGTCTGTTGCTTACTTTTTTATTGGTTTATGTGTCGTTTTTATTATTGAATTGTATACATCCTCTATATACTCTGGTAACAAATATTTTATCAGATATATGATTTGAAAATATTTTTTCTCCCGTTCTGTGAATTATCTTTTCACTTTGCCAGTAGTGTTTCTTGACTTGTTCTTTATTTAAAAAATCATGTAAGAAACATGTGCACACAATGAAAAAGTAGAGAATTTTGAGTGATACACAAAAATAAGAGGAATAAACAAAACATTTATAATGTTATTCAGAGACAATTGCTCTGAATACTTGCCATTTGGTCCTTTCACTAAAATGAAATCATATTATTCATTTTTTAACTTTCTATAAATCTTACCAGTTACAAATGCTTCCTGTATCAATAAATATATTTCAACAGCATCATTTTTTTTGTGTTGCATAACATTTAATCATATGGATGTTTGGTTTACCCAAATAGTCCCTTATTGTTGGATGTGTAAGCTGTTTCAAGTATTATAAATGAAGTTAAATCTTTATGCGTATCTATGATTACTTTCTTTGGATAGATTTCTGGAACAGGATTGATGGGTCAAAGTGTATACACACTTTTAAGGCTGTGAAAACGTGCAGCCAAATTGCTCTCTGGAAAGGCTGGCCAGCTATGCTCCTGTTAGCAACTTGTGAGCGAGCCATCCCTTGGCCAAGAACCTAACCTGGTTCACACAAAAGAAACAGAAATACTGTTATTAGTAATAGCAGTAAACACATTGCACTTATGTATTAGGCACTGTTTTAAGCTCTTTATGCATTTTGACTCATTTATTCTTCACAATAACTATCAAATTGGTACTATTATTTTTTTCATTTTACAGGTAAGATAATTGAGGCCCAGAGAGGTTAAGTAGTTGCTAGGTCACACAGCTAGGAGTGGCAGAATTTGAACCTTGCTAGTCTGGCTCCCAAATCCTGGCTCCCCGCTATACTGATTTACTGCTTTTTAATGTCTATATCACATAAAAATTATTGGCAGAGCCAGCCCTATGTACAAAAGCCCAAAAGGGAAAACACTTGGTATTAAGCATAATACTAGCTACTGCTTTAAGATATTCTTTATAATGCTAAGAAAGCTACTTTTTATTCTAAACTTAGTGAGAATTTCATTTAGGAATAGCTGAAAAATTTCCTCTCCCCTTTCTCCCAGCTTCTTTTTTGCATGTTATAGATCAAGGTTTGGCAAACTTATTTTTCTTATAGGGCCAGAGAGTAAATATTTTAGTTGTATGGGACATGAGATCCCAGTTGCAACTACTCAGCTCTGCCTTGTAGCTGAAAAGCAGCCACAGACAATATTTAAATTACAAAACCAGGTGGTGGGCTAGTGCACCATAGTTTGCAAATTTGTGTTACAGATGATATGTGGATTTTCTCCCTCTACTCACTCATATTGAGCCACTCCTGCGTTCTGGAATAATCCAACCTGACCGTGTCAGATTTCCTCCTGTAATTTATTTGTTAGTATTTTATATGGGATCTTTATGTCTCTATTCAGGTGTAGGATTAATCCTTGTGTGTATGTCTTTGTCAAACTTCACAAAATGAATGGGGAAATTTTGTCTTTTTTCTGTGCTGTGGAGCAAAGAATGATTTATTCTTTCAAAGACTGATAGAACTTTCTCCCCAAGAAACCACCTTGCCTGATGTCATTTTTGGAGGTAGTTCTTTAAGAGTTCTTCCTCTTTCAGGGTTATGGATCTCTCATGTTTTCTATTAATTTTGAATCAATTTTGGCAATTAATATTTTTCTAGAAAATTTTTGATCTCATCTAGATTTTCCAAGGTTTTGTCACTGATTTGGGTATAGCAAATCTTTTAATATTTTCGTTCTTCCAATAGTAACTTTTTATTCTTTTTCATTTCTAATTTAACATTAGATTTGATAAATGTTTGTTTTATTGGCCTTTTCAAAGTTTGCTCTGGGGTTTAATGATCAATTATAATATTCTGTTTTCTAATATATTAATAGCTACTTATCATTTTCAAATTTTGGTCTTCCTGCCTTTCTCTTTTTAATTTCTTGAGCTATCAGATTATTTTCACTCCTTTTGTATAAAAGCAATACCATTTAAGGCTGAATTTTGTGTATAGGCATAGCTATATAATCCACAAATTTTGGGGCATAGACCTCTTACTGTCAGTATTTTCTAACTATTTGTGATTTTACTTTGGTTTTCTCTTTTACCCAGGAAGGTTTTAAGAATGTGCATTTAAATTTCAAAAAATTAAATCTTAAATTTCTTATTAGTTTCTACTTTTATATTGCATTATGGCTAGAGAATATGACTGATATCAGTATATTTCTTGGATTTCATTGAGATTTGCTTTGTGGCTTTTAATTTTTTCTAAGTGCTTCAATGGTGCTGGAAAAGAAGGTATATTTTCTGTTTTCAGATTATATAAGGTTTGTCTATTTAATTGACACAATTAAATTGACACAGATTCTGTCTTCATATTCTTTTCTTTTTATTGGTTTTTCAAGACTGAGGGAAATGTAATAATTTTCCCACAACTGTTGTGTTCCTGTCATTTCTTTGTACAAAACACACTGGTCAGTTACCTGTTTGTGTCTGACTCCAAGCCTGCATCATAAACTCAAACCTTAAAGTCTCTGGTCTGGGGAAGGAAATAGAGACTTAGTAGGAATCAAACAGCTAAACTTATTCCATTCTAACAGTTTCCACCTATATGTACACAATTGCCTGTGTGTTAGTGTGTGTGTTTTTGTGGGGGGGGTATATGTGCCTATACTTCTCTCTTGGGCATGTCCATATATATATATATTCTTCTGTGTGTTGGTGAATGTAAGTTTGAGATATGTGTTTATGTCTGTTCTTTCACCCATGGCATCTTTTTCTTATACTGAACTTAAAGCATCAGGGCTAGGGTCTGCCCATGCTGGCTTTTTCTAGAGTGGTTATAAGTCAGAAAGCTCTGCTAACCTGCATCTAAACCCAACTCAACCTCTTTTGCTCTCTCCTGGCTGCAGAAGGCCCTCCTGGTAAGTTGGTCAGATAATGACTCTCTGTAGACTCAGCCTTCCTGTGGCATCTGCTCTCCATGCTGTGTGTCTGGGGACCACATTCTGGCCACACACAGGGTGTTAGGGCCAGACTTCCAGAATGGGTGGAGACTCTGAGAACCTTATCCTTACCCTCGCCCCATTGGGCTTGTTCAGGTACCCTTGCCATCATTCCAGCTTGTGCTACCCTTAATAAGCCAGAACTCAAAGGACTGGGCATTGATTTACAGAGAGCCACCAGCATTTCCAGAAACTTGATAATAGACTTCAGTTCCTTTGATAGGATCAGAGCAGGCTCCTGGCAGGTCTCCTAGCACACCCCCTCGTACAGTGGAGGGAAGCAAGTCCCAGATGGGCTCTCTTTTGCCTTGTCCTTGGCCCTTCCCACTGAATTGGGTGAGCTTTAATGGTACCAACAGGTACAGACTAAGTGCTCAGCCTGCGGCAGGGTTTGGGGAAGGCCTGGAGAAGAGTGACCATCCCATGTTTTGGGACCTTGCTGATTACCTGGGCAACAAGATACACACACACACACTTAGACAGGACATAGCTGCAGGAGCATTTTAGACACGATAACTATGAGGGCATGTGGACACACTATGCACAGAAGGAGCTAAAAGGTGGGGAGACCAGTGTGTGCCTCAACAGGCCTCTCTACAGTTTCTTACAAACATGAGTAAGTGGAGGAAGGACAGGGAAGAGAGCATGTTGCCGCAAACTTCCCTTCTCACCTAATTTCCCCTGTTTAGCATACTGTCTTTTGAATAATGGGTACTTGGTAAGTGTTTGTTGATTTTCGGGGAGTCTGCCTTCATTTGACCTTCAAGGAGGATGAGTTCTGATTTCTGATGCTTTCTTTTCTTTGCTGGGATCAGGGGGCAGGATAGCAATGTGGGGTCTGAGTTTTCCTGAGTCTGCTCCATTTTATTCATAAATATCACATTATTGACATTTTCATGCAAAGAGTTACCCTCAGCACCCTCTGATTTTAGCCTCAATATGTCCCTAGAATGTAGGAGCCCCACGATGATTGTGTCTACTTCACAGAAAGGAAAAGGGAGGCCCAGAGAGCGTAACAGAATCACACAGTGAATGGTGGGCAGAGCCAGGGCTAGAGCCTCAGCCTCTCAATGTCAAGCAGTTGTTAAAACCTTTCTTCCTGTCTGTGCCGTCTGCCTCTGGAGAGGCGGGGAGTTTCAGCTCTCTGCTTCTCTGAACTCACCCAACCTGAGAGCTCTGAAGTCCAGGCCAGCCCAACGGCCTTGCTAGGTGTCCAGCCCGGAAGGGCCTTGCTTGCCAAGTTCTGTTTCTGAAGTGGTCTCTTTCTTTCTACCTACTCAGGAGGAGGAGTTCATCGATTGGTGGAGCAAATTCTTTGCTTCTACAGGGGAAAGAGAAAAGTGTGGCTCGTACTTGGAGAAGGACTTTGACACTCTAAAGGTGAGGCCTCTGCAAAATGTGCTTTTTGTTCTAACAGTCCCTGGGCACATGTGATGGGCAGCAGGACATACAACAGAAAGAGAATCTATGTATTTGTCCTGTCATTTGGTTCCTGAGGGCTGGTGAATCCTGATGAACTAACTGAGGTGAAAGGTCATTCATCTATTTAGAGCAAGACGCCAGTTTGGGCTGACTTCTTTGGAAGAATGGAAAAATACGTTAGTATTTATGGGGAATGATGCCTGGGATTTGTTTAAAATGCTCAAAAAAAGTAAGAGGTGAGAGAGAATGTGTGGGTGGCCCTCAATAGATTTTTTTTAAATTATGGGAACTGCAAAACATTGGAAATTGTTAAAACTTGGAGATGGGTAAGGGATTTGTTATACTACTCTGTTTCTTGTTAAGTTATTTGAACTTCTCTATAATAAAAAATTTATATCAAAATACAAAGGAAATTCAGCTTGAGAATGTGGCTATGATTCCCCCACCTCTACACTTGGGAAAGAAATTACCTAGGAAGTATAAAAATATGGTGAGCTCTTTTTCTGTGAAAAAAAAAAGAAAGAAAAAAATAAAGAAAAACCCCCAAAACCAAACCAAGAATGACTCAGTCAAATTCTGGTATTTTGAGGAAATTCCACAAATACAATCTTATACTTTTTAGAAGTAAGCTGCTTAAAAAAAAAAAGACAACCAGAGGTGACTCAAAATTATTCCCCAAAAGAGTTGTATAGTGCTGTGGAGCTAAAATTCAGGATGCTTAGTCACACTTGAACTTACACAGATAAACAAGCCATAATATTTTAGTATAAGGATGCTTCAATTATTTGCATGAGACATACTGATGTAGCAACTGCTTGTTTTTTATTTGAAATTCAGATTTAACTGGGTATCCTGTATTTTGACTTGCTATGTCTGGTGACCCTACTTAGAGGTAGGCAAAGGCTGTCAGACACAGGGGAGACCTAAGGGGGCCTTGAAGGTACTGGGTGAATGGGGTTTGAGGCTGGCTGGAGTGGTGGGTGGCCTGGGCTTTTAAGTAGGCCTTTGGGAGACACTACAAAGGGTAACTTCACAAGGTGACCTGAGTTGTCTCTGGTACACCGCAGGCTTCCAGTGAATAGTGTGTGCAGACCTGGACGTGCAGAGTGAGGTCTCGGGCAGCACGATGGCTCCAAAAGCATAGGCCTCCTCTGGCAGCAAGTTCTTCATTGACTTAAGGCAGGTGCATGAGGTGGGCAGAGACAGACCTCTTTGTGTATCAGGAGAAGGCCCGACACATTAGGTTTGGCATGTGGTGCCATGGTCTTACCAAAAAAATGAGAAAAACCAAGAATGAGGGTTCCCTCCCCGGTGGCCCATGGCTCTGGCCCCCTTTCTGCTCCCTCAGATGCCAGATACTGAATGGGCACCCAGCCTTCCAGCTTGACCTCTTTGAGGAGGTCTCTGACAGAATCCAAGTGAAAATGGGCTGTACGAAACAAAATGCATTCAACCTGTTTCTGGGGGGAGGTGGGGAACCAGTCCTGGAAGGAGCACTGTTCCTTTAAGGATAAGTAAATAGAAGAAAACTAGCACCAACAACATGAGTCTTTGAAAAATAGCCTGTAGCATTATGGAGAGACTGAAGTACACAATGGGTTGAGAAAAAACATTTTGGAAATCACCAACATAGGGGAAAAAAACAATTTGTAGTCTAAATGGCAAAAGATAGAAAAAAAGATAAAACAAGAAAACAAAAGCAAATAATAAAGCACAATAGAAAAAGAATAAATATAGTTTTCCTAATAAATAAAAATGGATTAAACTTCTGTATTAAGTGATAAGGACTCAGACAATATAAAAAGTCAAAATTCATTATTCTGTCTTTAAAAGACATGTCTAAAGCACTACAACTTAGAATGGCTAAAAAAATAAATAGTTTGGCAAAAAAAATAAAGTAAGTACAAATAAAAGAGAAAGAATTTAACATAAAAATGAAGGAAACCAAATGGAGTATATTATATAAATAAGATACACATTTGAGTGAAAAAACTCCTAAAAATTTATTCATAGAATAGTAAAATTTAAAAATAATTAAAACAAAAATAGAACTATATAAACTAATGCCTCACATGAATAAAAGCATAAAATCACAGAAATTAAAGTGGTGGGGATTTTAATGCACCTCCTGGACAGATGAATTAGGAAATTAAATAAACAAATAAATAAGGAAATAAAAGGTGAATAACAAGGTAAATATTTTTAATCTACATCAAAATAGCTTTAAAATGGAGAATAAACATAATAAAAAGTAGAGAATACATTTTTCCCTAATGCTTAGAGAATACTTATAAAATTTGATCACATATTAGTTTAGTAAGAATTTACCAAAAGTAGAAATTATTCAAGACAGATTAAAATTCAATACAATGAGAAATTAATAACAAAAGTTTAAACAAAAAGACCAACCACTTGGAAATTTCAGAAGTATTTTATTGGGACTTCCAGTATGAACATGGCTGTATAAGTCAGCAATTTTCCCCTCCTGGAAATCATTCAAACCCACAAACTCCATTTTCGGTAAAAGTTGAAAACAAAATCTGGAGACTCTAAAATACATATAAGAGATGTCCAAAGGCAACCAAAATTGAATAGAAGCCACTTGTCGGTAAGTGAAGAGAAGATGTATGAAAATGATGAAAGGTCATAGTGGCAGATTTCAGAAAACCCCAAACTTCCTAATAAAAGAATGTTGATCATTATTTAATACAGGCTATAGTACATAGGGGCTTATTATCTATTTTCTTTACATTTGTGTGTGCTTGAAAAGTTTCATAATAAATAGTTAAAAAATATAGTTCCTGAAATTGTGGTTTCACCATAGAATATTAAAGTTATTCCTTGTTTACAACAATGGATGTGGGAAATTTGCAGACAGGTTCAGGCTGGTGACAGAAGCCTTTAGACCTGGTTTGGTTCAGGGAAACAGAGAAGGTGGAGCTACATGAAGAATTACACAGATGAGCCATTTTGCAGGAAGCAGTCTGTCTCTGTGGTGGGAACAAAGGAAGTTATTAGTCTAGGAAAATTTAACACATTTAGTGATAAGTAGTAATAAAAGAACTATCATGGTATTAATTTAAAAATACTGTAAAAAAGAAGAGAAAATATAAATCAAAACTTAACCAAAAGGAAAGGATATATATCCACAAGAAAAAGGTTGCCAAGGAGCAGATGAAATATTTTGCTATGAACTTTTTAGGAATGGGGCAGACAGAATGCAAAGAAGAAATGAAATAACTCAAGAGATGAAGAGATGAAATATGAGCTGGTAGGATTTGGGAAAGAAAGACAAGAAAACATGAAATTGGAAGAAGTGCAGGGCAGAATGGCCACATTGGAAAACACAGTGAGGGCCGTAGAGGACAGAATGATGAAAGTAAGCAAAATGATATGGAAATAAAGAGCTATAAAAAAATAGAAAATGATAGATATATAAGTCAGAGAAAGGAAATCCAACATTTGCATAATTGGAGTCTTCAAGGAAGACAACCAAAACCATTAAATAAAACAAAAAAGCACTTAATCATTCAATAAAACCACTGAAATGAAAGAATAATTGAATATACATATTACAAGGTCCCCTGTGTGTCAGGAAAAGTTGACCCAGGTTGGCCAACCACAAGACATACTCTGGTGTATGTTATCGCAGTTCAGAGATAAAGAAAGAATTTTTAAGGCAGTCATAACCACTGCAAAAGAAGCACTAGGTCATTTAAAATAAGAAATAAATCAAGGTGGCTTCAATTCCTGCACAGCAAAATGTAATACGCAAAGACAGTGAAGCACCATGTGTAAGATCATCAAGGAAAGAGAGGATGACTCAAGGATTTATATTCAGTCAAGCTGCCCTTCAAGCACAAAGGCTACAGACACCCAAGCATGCATCATCTAGTCAGGAACTAGGAAATATGGTTCCTGTGAGCCTGTCTTCAAGAACTCCTAGGGAATGAACATTAGCCAGCTAGGTGATAACTGGGAAAACCACAATGAAAGGACTGGTTGTGGTTATAGTTTACCTTAGACTTAAGATGAAAATAAATGGAAGGGTTAGCGTAACAGATAGAAGGTAAATATATACACTAAAAATGCAGAAGTGATGAAATTGGCAAAAATTAGGTGGAGAAGGAGGCAAGAATGGGATGCAGAATAAGGACACTGGTTGCCTTATTATAGAATAAGGAGAGTAGATAGATATTATTTAAACTTGGCCAATTATAGAAGTATAAGCAAATCACAAACAGACAGTATAGAGGTGAATATTAAGGAAGGTAATATTGTCTAAAACTGGGTGAAGGAGAGGGAGGAAGATAAAATTTGATTATTTTAATCATTGCTCTAGTAGGGAATTCATAAATACTGTCCTTAAAGATACAGAGGACTGAGAGTATTATTAGTGTTTATAAATTTATAGTAATATTAGAACATAAACTCAAGTCATCCTGGATATCAGAAGAACCAAACACACACAGACACAGATCATGTAAGCAAAGATTAAAAAAAAAAAAATCCATGAAACTCAAAAATGTAATATAAATATGTTAGATTACTATATAAATGTAAAACCAGACCAAATATATCTGTCATATTAATCACTTCTTAATTACAAAATTTAAATCAGATCCCCAAGCAAAATCTAACTAAAATAAAGAGATTCATAAAGGTTGAAAATAAAAGATTGTGCAAATGTGTGCCTGGCAAATACAGATGAAAAGAAAACAGAAGTCATAATCTTAATATTAGATGAGTATATTCGGGCCCCCAAAATTAAATGAAACAAAGAATGGCACTTTATAACGCTAACTGATACAATTCCAAGGGATGACAGTTAAGAGAGTATCTGTGTGCTAAATAATACAGTGTCAATATTTGTAACACAGTAATTACAGGAGATATAAGAAGAGAGAGAAACACACTGGAGGTAGAGGGAGATTTTAACTCTTTTCTTTCAGTTCATGTCAGGTCATGGGGACAAAAATATGAGAGGATATAGAAAACTGATACAATTATTGAAGCTGATTGAACCCTGTAGCCTGAAAAGCAAGACTATACCTATTGGCACAGATATTGGCCACATATCAGGCCATGAAGAAAACCTTAATGAATTTCAAAAAAAGTGGCAATACTGCTGACAATGTTTCTTGATTATCAGGCCATAAAAGGAGAACTTGAAAACAAGATCAATAGCCCAGAAAAACTCTTCTATCTGGAAAGAAAACCCCTCTTTTTTAACAATTCTTGGTGAAAGAGAAAATACAAATCAAGATTGCAGAGTACCTGTGGTACAATGATAAAATGCTACATATTACAGTGTAATGGTTATAGCTAAAGCAGCATGCAGAGAGAGTTTATAGCCTTAAAAATTTATTTTAATTAAAAGAATGAAAGCTAACTAAGCATCTAGCTCTTGGATCAAATAATACAAATAAAATTGTAATTATGGAATGCCAAGAAAATGAAAATGAAAACATACATCAAAACAAATGGGGCAATGCCAAGGCAGTTGTAAGCAGAGGCAACTTCATAGTAATAAGTATTCCCCTTATATGACTAGAAAGAACAAAGTAGATAAAACTTCAGCTGAAGAAGTTAAAAAGAATCAGGAAAAAAACTTGAAAGCAGTAGGAAGAAGAAAATCAGAAAAAATAAAAGCAGAAATAAGGAACTAGACACAACCAAGAAAATGGTAGAATTGACAAAGAACTGGTCCTTTGATCGAAAGGATTCAACTATATAAATAGAGCAAGAAAACATGCAAACTGATGAATACCTAATATTAATGAAATAATTCACTGGTATTTTTTGGGAATCAGAATATAAGGCAATAATATTTTCTTGTATATGCTAATTTTTGATAATGAAACTATATCACTTGCCTAATTAATTATTCCTTAGAAGAGACAGAATTGAGCTAGTCCTTACATGAGAAATACTATTTAGCAATATGAGAGAGGAATTTACCTGCTATGTCTTGTCTGTCAGTTTCAGATATACTGGAATAAAATTAAGTTGTTTAATATCAGTATTTATTAGGTACATTTTATCATCTGTAATAGAAAACTACTGCTTCATTTTAACCTCAGCAGTTCCAAAGCACTGCTCTAACAAATAGAAGTGATTGGCTGTTTGAGAGGAGTGACATAAAAACAGAGTCCACAAATTTTAAGTGGTGCACAAAAGACACTCGGCTGGTGGTATTCGATACCACTGTTTGGACATTCTTGGCAGTGAGTATTTTTGCTTAAAATGCTTATGCCTACATTTTCCAGGGCTCTGTCTTGATCTCCATATAAAAAGCCAGTTAACTTATCATTTATTTGTTTAACTGTGATCTTATTCTTTTAAAAAATGCACCACCCATGTGTATGATGACTCAGATACCTGCACTATTGGGTTAAACAGAAAACCCTATTCCCTAAGGGCACTGAACAAAGTCTTCCCCTCTCACTTTCTCCTCCTGTTTGTTTTTTTCCCTTTTCCTCTGACTTCAATCTCCACTCTTTGTATCCTTTCTATCTCTGCCTCTGTTCTTCTTTCCTTCTGCACTTCTTTTCCTCCTTGGCCCCCTTTCCTTCATCTCCCCCACCTGCCGTCCCGTTGTCCTCTCTTCCTCTGATTTGCTTATGGCCTTTGTTCCTCATTTTCTTCTCTCCCTTTCCTTACTCAAATACTCTTATTTTCCTCTTCCATCGCTTTCCCTTGTTCCCTTCTCTGTCCCCACATGTCACAGGTCTATGACACACAGCTGGAGAATGTGGCTGCCTTTGAGGGCCTGTCTGACTTTTGTAACACCTTCAAGCTCTACCGGGGCAAGACTCAGGAGGAGCCGGAGGACCCATCTGTCACTGGGGAATTTAAGGTACGTCCTTGAGGGCCTGGCCCTGAACCAGGGAAGCCTGAGACTGTGGAGCGGCCGCAATACACAAGGGGGGTGGGAGCAGAGGAACGGCAGCTGATGACCACAGTGTTGATGTTGGGGAACGTGGTGGCGATGGGATAGAGCTGAGGTCTCCGTTCTGATGGCTCTGGCAGAGACGAGAGGAGTGGTCAGAATGGTGATTGTGTTGGTGACAGTGATGATAAAAATGAATTTTGGCCCCTCATTCTCCTCAGGGCCTCTTCAAAATTTATCCCCTCCCAGAAGACCCAGCCATCCCCATGCCCCCAAGACAGTTCCACCAGCTGGCCGCCCAGGGGCCGCAGGAGTGCCTGGTCCGCATCTACATCATCCGGGCATTCGGCCTGCAGCCCAAGGACCCCAATGGGAAGGTAATTCCTGGAGTGCTCCCCTCCCCCAGAATAGCAGGCTGGGGTACAAATGGGCTGTGGGATCTGAGCACAACTCTGCTCAGAGAGCCCACAGTAAGCCGGGGAAACCAGAAAAACACAAACAACACTGAGATGTGACTGGATGGAGCTCTACTGAGGGCCATTCTCTAGGTGGTCGCAAAAGGCCAAAGTCAGAACAAGACTTTCGAGTATTGAGGAAGGCTCCCTGGAAGGAACAGGATTCTTAAGGTTGGGCTAGGAGGGAGAAGAAAATAGTATTTTGGTGGCAGTCAGAAAACTCGGCAAAAGCTTGCAAGAAGACTGTTTAGTGTACGTTTAGCCCACTGAAAAGGGCTGAGGAAAGCAACATTGCGGGTGTGGGCGGGAGCTCGGCGCTTAGGGCTTTCAGTGGTGGGGGAAGGGAGAAAGGGGGATGGGCAGGATCAGTAATCCTGCTGTGCCTGGCCACGGTGGAGCCTGGGGCAAAAAGAAAAACCAGTAATACTGATCCTGTCTTTATTAAGACTTTAGTATTTTGTTCATCATGGGCTATTGACATTGATTTTAATTTTTTAAATATATTGCATTAAAATTTTGTTTGAGTACTCATTTTTTGGGGGGGCATTGAGGCACCTTCCCTCTTAACTTTTGTGCCAGAGGCAGATACTTGTTCGCTTCATTCTGGTCATGGCCCTGAGTGAAGCCTGGAACTTGGAGGGGGCAGGGGTCTGGAGTTGGGGAAGGTGGGAAGGGAGGGCCAGAGGAAAGTTGGGAAGAGAGAGAGGAAAGAAGGGAGGCAGGGCTGGGGTGATTGGTGTTCAGAGATAGCAGGCTGGGGTCCTCTCTTGTCCCCTTAGATGGGTGCAGGCCTGGCATATGGCCTTGAGGCTATGGGTGGAGGCCTGGTGTCCTGCCCCAAGAACCCTGCTTTGCAAGGGAAGAAGTCAGAGCCCCCCTTCAAGGCAAGGTCACAGGACAGAAGGGAGCCACCCCAGCACAGGTACCCCTGACAGCCTCCACGATGTGGCCGATGGCCAGCTCATTTACTCCAAGACTTCTGGATGCCAAGGCTGACCCTGAGCCCTCCCCCCAGTCCAGCGGCTCTGGGAGGCTAGTTGAGGGGATGCTGTTGTTTGCAGGTGGCGCTGAGGGCTGGTCAGCCTGGGCTGGGCTGGGCTGACAAAAGTCTGGCTGTCTCCCTCCCTTTCCATCTGCTGAAGCGGGGGTCACAGAGAGGACCCCAGCCTGGCCCAGTCACATATTTAACACAAACCACTATGTTTCTGAGGATTTGGACCATGCTTCTACCCACCTTCTGCTACTGTGGCAGTGGATTAGGAGTGTGGAAGACTCAGGTACCCCATTTTCATTCCTGGACCATGGCTAGAAGTCCATGTTGGGGCCGGTTGGTACAGTGTGCTGTTCAGGACAGGGCCCTGGCCTGGCAGGGTGGCAGAATGGAAGTTTCTTTTTGCTAGAGAAGCCTGAGACTGTGGAGCGGCCGCAATACACAAGGGGGGTGGGAGCAGAGGAACGGCAGCTGATGACCACAGTGTTGATGTTGGGGAACGTGGTGGCGATGGGATAGAGCTGAGGTCTCCGTTCTGATGGCTCTGGCAGAGACGAGAGGAGTGGTCAGAATGGTGATTGTGTTGGTGACAGTGATGATAAAAATGAATTTTGGCCCCTCATTCTCCTCAGGGCCTCTTCAAAATTTATCCCCTCCCAGAAGACCCAGCCATCCCCATGCCCCCAAGACAGTTCCACCAGCTGGCCGCCCAGGGGCCGCAGGAGTGCCTGGTCCGCATCTACATCATCCGGGCATTCGGCCTGCAGCCCAAGGACCCCAATGGGAAGGTAATTCCTGGAGTGCTCCCCTCCCCCAGAATAGCAGGCTGGGGTACAAATGGGCTGTGGGATCTGGACACAACTCTGCTCAGAGAGCCCACAGTAAGCCGGGGAAACCAGAAAAACACAAACAACACTGAGATGTGACTGGATGGAGCTCTACTGAGGGCCATTCTCTAGGTGGTCGCAAAAGGCCAAAGTCAGAACAAGACTTTCGAGTATTGAGGAAGGCTCCCTGGAAGGAACAGGATTCTTAAGGTTGGGCTAGGAGGGAGAAGAAAATAGTATTTTGGTGGCAGTCAGAAAACTCGGCAAAAGCTTGCAAGAAGACTGTTTAGTGTACGTTTAGCCCACTGAAAAGGGCTGAGGAAAGCAACATTGCGGGTGTGGGCGGGAGCTCGGCGCTTAGGGCTTTCAGTGGTGGGGGAAGGGAGAAAGGGGGATGGGCAGGATCAGTAATCCTGCTGTGCCTGGCCACGGTGGAGCCTGGGGCAAAAAGAAAAACCAGTAATACTGATCCTGTCTTTATTAAGACTTTAGTATTTTGTTCATCATGGGCTATTGACATTGATTTTAATTTTTTAAATATATTGCATTAAAATTTTGTTTGAGTACTCATTTTTTGGGGGGGCATTGAGGCACCTTCCCTCTTAACTTTTGTGCCAGAGGCAGATACTTGTTCGCTTCATTCTGGTCATGGCCCTGAGTGAAGCCTGGAACTTGGAGGGGGCAGGGGTCTGGAGTTGGGGAAGGTGGGAAGGGAGGGCCAGAGGAAAGTTGGGAAGAGAGAGAGGAAAGAAGGGAGGCAGGGCTGGGGTGATTGGTGTTCAGAGATAGCAGGCTGGGGTCCTCTCTTGTCCCCTTAGATGGGTGCAGGCCTGGCATATGGCCTTGAGGCTATGGGTGGAGGCCTGGTGTCCTGCCCCAAGAACCCTGCTTTGCAAGGGAAGAAGTCAGAGCCCCCCTTCAAGGCAAGGTCACAGGACAGAAGGGAGCCACCCCAGCACAGGTACCCCTGACAGCCTCCACGATGTGGCCGATGGCCAGCTCATTTACTCCAAGACTTCTGGATGCCAAGGCTGACCCTGAGCCCTCCCCCCAGTCCAGCGGCTCTGGGAGGCTAGTTGAGGGGATGCTGTTGTTTGCAGGTGGCGCTGAGGGCTGGTCAGCCTGGGCTGGGCTGGGCTGACAAAAGTCTGGCTGTCTCCCTCCCTTTCCATCTGCTGAAGCGGGGGTCACAGAGAGGACCCCAGCCTGGCCCAGTCACATATTTAACACAAACCACTATGTTTCTGAGGATTTGGACCATGCTTCTACCCACCTTCTGCTACTGTGGCAGTGGATTAGGAGTGTGGAAGACTCAGGTACCCCATTTTCATTCCTGGACCATGGCTAGAAGTCCATGTTGGGGCCGGTTGGTACAGTGTGCTGTTCAGGACAGGGCCCTGGCCTGGCAGGGTGGCAGAATGGAAGTTTCTTTTTGCTAGTCACCTAGCCTTATCAGGAGGAAGAAGACTCCTGATGAAGCCTCAGAGGTATGTTGGGAAAGTGACTTCACTTAAGTCTTTCTGTCTTTCTTCCAGTGTGATCCTTACATCAAGGTCTCCATAGGGAAGAAATCAGTGAGTGACCAGGACAACTACATCCCCTGCACTCTGGAGCCTGTGTTTGGAAAGTAAGTTGGGGGCAACTTGGGTCTTGGGGTCGAGTTGCCAGTCTGGACCACCCAGCCCAGTGGGGAGATGTCCCCAGCTCCTAGAGCAAAGCTGTATTCCCTCAATCTTGCATGTCTGTGGGACTCTAACCTCAGCTGGTTTTTCATTATGTGCTAAAGGCCTGAGTCCTGGCAAGAGCTCCTAGTTAAACACAGAAACAATTCCCTCAAAAGATCAGAAATCTAAATGGAAACCCACAGCATGCAATTTACTAATTATTTTTTTAGATTAACTTTTACTTGGAATGATTTTAGATTTATAGAAAAGTTACAAAGATAGTTTCCATATACCCTTCACTCCATTTCCCCCACCATGAACATCTCACCTAACCACAGTACATTTGTCAAAACTAAGAGATTGATTGGTGCACTGCTGTTTACTAAACTCTAGACTTTATTAGGATGTTGCCAACTTTCCCACTAATGTCCTTCTACTGTTCCAGGACCTAATCCAGGATCCTACCTTGCATTTTGTAATTGTTCTTATTGTTACATTTCATCTCTGGCGGGTAGATAGAGGAAGGAAGGAGTGTGGACTCAAGACAGTAAAATGCTTCTTGAAGTCTAAGAACAAGGAGAGGAAGGACCAGTGCCTATTGCCTGGCAGTGGTTCCCAGGCCTCCTGAACCACTTGCTATTTGGATATGAGCTCACTCAGGTCAGGCTGGAGAGAGAAACGCAGGGGGGTTGGTGGCTATTTCTCTAGCACCTTTATGAGAAGGCACGTGGTGTTTGGATATTAAGTGACTCATTGGATTCATAAGCTGGTATCCATCGGGTTAGCTGTGGTCACTCAGCCTGCAGCAAGGACTCAGTCAGTGTGCTGGGGGGCAAGGGGGGCCACAGTTTTTGGAAGTGAAACATTCCTGGCTGGTGGTGAGCCTCCAGCAAGCTGCAATTGGAGGAAGGGCCGCAGGGAAGAGGGTGGCTGGGAGCTCTGTTTGGTGAGCTCTAGTGGTTGGCATGGGGCCACAGGCTACTGGTGAGCAAACAACAGATCGGACCTGTTCCACGATAGACATGCTTGGTCAGCGCCCAGGGCAGGAGGGGAAGTGAGTGTGGAAGCACATCCCTCTGGCTCCATTTCACCATCTCCTCCAGGTCATGGCCCAGCTGTTTTGCCTGTGGTTTTCGGTCTCCCTCAGCAGAAACTCCTCTAGAACCCATGTGTTGAATAAGTACAACTCAGGGGATGTAACTGAAACACGACCTTGTCTGTCAGTATCCCGCAGCCATGTGTTCTCTGGGGGTTACCTCCTCATTCCCTAAGCGCAGAGTGGGGCAGGCAACCCACTTTGTCACAAACTCACAGTCTCAAATTGGTAACCAGAATGCCATTCATGTATAATCCTGAGCCCTGAGTGAAGGCCCCAGGGCAGTCACCCCCTCTCCTGGCTGGGTCTGCTTTGGGTACAGCATGTGGATGTGCCTGTGTACAGAAGGAGGGGGCTTTGCCTCTCTCCCTTCCCTGTCTAGTGTCCACCCTCCCCCACCTCCCCAATCACCAAGGTTCTGACTGGTGCAGGGCCAGGACTAGGGGAGCCCTTATGAGAGGAGGGGCCCCACCTCATGTGCTCACTTTCCCTGTTGTCCGGACACCCTCTGCATGGCAGATGTTTAAAGCCGACTTATTTTCTTGTGGGTGCTTTGCAGAAAGCCTCTCTGAGCCCTCGCACTGTAGCTCCAAGGTGTGTCCCTCTAGCTGGTGGCCCCCATCCCCTGGCTCTCAGGTGGGCCTCTGCAGCCTCTCAGGTTGGAGCCCCAGGTCCCATGGAGTAGGACTCAGAGTGGCTGCATGCTCCAGTCTGGCCTCGCAATGGCCAGCCAGGATGGGGGCAGTGCAGCTCCTGACAAATGCCACCTCTCTCTGCCCGTCTCTCCCCATCTCTGCCCCCGGTGCTGTGCTTCCCTGAGTGTGACTTGGGTGCCAGGCAATGTCTCCCACCTACAGGGGAAAAGGGACATGTCTATATTTGACCTCCGTGGGGGGTGGGGGTCTCAGAGTGCACTGGGAGCTCTCTACAAAGACATCTCTTCACAGATCCTCTCTCCATCCTACTCAAGAAGTAGGCCTGAAGCCCCAGGAGTCCTGGAATTGAGTCTAGGCCATTCCCTTGGTAGACCAGAGCTCTGGCGCCTTCACGTTTCTTGTCTTCTGGTGTCCTGGCAGAAGCTTCAGTTTAAATTTTCTGTTCTCATTCATCCATTCATTCATCCTGTGGTCCATCAGGCAGGCACCTGCTTTATGCCCAGCCTAGATTATTTGTGCATGTGCACACAAACATGAACACACACACACACACTCACTCACACACTCAGAGAAGCCCAGTGCCAATAGAGCACTGTGGGTGGTGTGCTTTAAGAGCTACAGGAGGCCGGTGGGGGCTTGGGGGTGACTCCAGGGCCACTCCTGGGAGGGGAGGAGAGGGCCAAGGTGGCTTTTAAGACCCTGCTCTTGTCCTGCCCTCTCTTGAGTTCCTGCTGTGCCCAGCAACATCAGGGGACTGGCCCGAGTCCTGACATCTGTCTTGGGACTCCCGCAGGATGTTCGAGCTGACCTGCACTCTGCCTTTGGAGAAGGACTTGAAGATCACTCTCTATGACTATGACCTCCTCTCCAAGGATGAAAAGATCGGAGAGACGGTCATCGACCTGGAGGACAGGCTGCTGTCCAAATTTGGGGCTCGCTGTGGACTCCCACAGACCTACTGTGTGTAGGTGCTCGGGGGCTGGCTGGTTCTCTGACAACAATCCCACCCCCTGAACACTGAGCACTCCATGTGTGCCAGCCCTGGGCTAAGCACTTCACAGGCATTTCCTCACTCAACCAAGCTGGGGTCTTCTCCCCACTCTACAGATAAGGAAACTGAGGCCGAGAGATGTTACAGCTTGTGAGTTGTGGGATTAGGATTTGAACCTGTTTGACTGACCCTAAGAACCTGGCTGTTCATCATGTTGTTATAAACCGGTTCTCCTTAAAGCACCACTGAGGGCCTGTAGGGGGAAAGAGGGAAGGAAGGAAAGGAGAAGGGAGACAGACAGTGGGACACATGAGCCCCAGCTGCACCCAAAGGGGGTTAGGTCAGGTGAACTTCTGTGTGGACAGCCCCTGCCACTTCCTGCCAACTTAGGTCTTGTTTGGGTCTGATTCTCTTAATCTGGAAATTGGAAAAATCTAAGTTCCAATTCTGAATGTATTTAAACAAGTTGGTTGTCTCCAGGCCTGTTTCTCTGTCAGATGGGAATCCCATCATGGTGAGTGATCACATAGGGTGCCTGCTGTACAAGGGAAGGGTGGGCAATGCTGTGCGTGGGGCACCAGGGCTGCGCACCGGCTGCCCCGTCCGTGTCCTGAGTTGTCTCACCTTTGTGTTTGGACCTCAGCTCTGGACCGAACCAGTGGAGGGACCAGCTGCGCCCATCTCAGCTCCTCCACCTCTTCTGCCAGCAGCACAGAGTCAAGACCCCTGTGTACCGGACAGACCGTGTGGTGTTTCAGGATAAAGAATACATTCTCGAAGAGATAGGTGAGCTGCCACATGACCCCGAAACCATGACGGGCTCCCCTTTTCCTCCTCCTCCCCAGTAGGTGCCCTCCCATCATAAAGGGCCCAGCTGGACCTTACCCCCCTCAGCAGGGGTGGTGGGTCTCTCCAGGGCAGCACAGATGGACTAAACTTATGCTTGGTACTTTGGGGACCAGTACTTACTTGTGATTCCATTGTGGAAATTAGAGGTCAAGGATGGGGGTGGGGCCAAGGTCAGAACTCAGGCCAAGGCCAGGGTGGGTCTCATCTGAGGGCTAGATGAGAGGTGAGTGTGAAGCCAGGGTAAAAGACATGGTTAGGATCAGTGCGCTGCTGGCTTTAGGTGGTCAGACTCTGTCATCTGAGTTTGGGGTTTATCCCACCTCTGGAAACAGTTCTCTACTTGAATCATAGTACCTGCCAGCTTTACCTGAAGGTACCCTCTGAGCCCCCGACTCACTGCTCCTGCTTCTAAATCATCGAAAGGGCAGGCAGGAAGCTCTGTAGCCCCTGCCCTTGGCCCCGGGTCTGCTAATGTTTATGCCTGAGAATCTCACCACATGTGTCCCTTGTGTCTGAGATGCCCACAGGCCTGCACTGCCCACCCTGGGCAGCCCAGTCCCCCCAGAGGTGTTTACAGGCCCAGCTGGCCCTTTGCCTCCTGCTGGTTTCAGAGATGTTTGATGTTGGAGCTGGTGCTGAGGTTATAAAAAGGGAATGCTTGCTTTGATTCCCCCCTCTCCCAATCCCCCTCCTCCTCCTCGTTCTGTTTTTCTGACTTTCCGAAGTCATGGCTGAGCCAGCTCCTCTCTATTAGGCACTAAGCCCGCCCCCATTCTCTTTTCCTATAGAATGTGCATCTGTTTTAGGGGTGGTCTCATTTCCTTCCACTAGTCTCTTTAGCTTTAGCACAGAGACCCCCTCATGGTTATAAATTCATAGAAAAAGAAAACCAGAGAGCTAGAGATGGTGAGGCCCAGCATCTGCCTATCTTTTCAGATAAGGCTGTTGAGGCCGAGAGTGGTTAATGACCTGCCCCAAACCACCTAGCTGGTTAGGAGCAGAACCAGATTCCTGGCCCGGTGGTCCTCTGGGATGCCATACTGCTTCCTTTGTGGCACCTATTAAAGTCGGCAGGGCAGGTTTGCGGGAGGACCATGTGTATGTGTGTGAGAATCTGTGCTGGTGAACATGGCATACTGAGCACACACACCTGTGTGAGTCGTTGTGTGTGTGTACACACATGGGGACCCTCCTACCTCCAGTCAAGGTCTCTGTCATGGGACTCTAAGTTCATGTTACTGGCTGGTTGACCAGCTTGTCAGGGTCAAAACAGCCCCTGTGTCCTCACCACATTCACAGCACCAGTGCTTGGCTCACCCCCTGGCAGGTAGGAGCTGTACCTGGAAGCATGAGGGGGAAAAAGATGGTGTCCATACTCACCTTTCCTACACAAGTGTACGATCTCAGCTGTCCTGTAGACCAGCTGTGTGACTGCTCTGTGCTTCATATCTGTCATCTGTAAAATGGGGATAGTAACAGCACTAACCTTCCAGACTTATTATGAGGACAGAGCTTGTTAATATCTGAACAACAGTGCCTGGCTCCTGGTTTATAAGTGTTTCCCTTTAGTACTATTATTTTTACTACTGCTACTAATAGAACAGATTGCATGAGCCAGAGAATAATATTAAAAGTACTTAGATGCCTGATCTGGAGGTAGAGGTTACTGAGGTTCAGAGTTGGGGGTTGTCAGGGAGGGCTTCCTGGAAGGGGTGGGCTTTGGCAGCAGGGGAGGATTTGTATTGGTGGAAAAGAAGAAGAAGCACTTTACAGAAGAGGCTTGGAAGAAGTGATAGCAAAAGCAACAGAGAATCTGAACTTCAAGCCTTTAGCCTGTGGATGGTGCAATTTCCTCAACAGAGTGAGATGTGATGCGAGGAGCCGAGGGAGTGTGTCTGGGTTGGGGTGAGGCTACAGGGCATAAGGGTTTCCTGAGGCCCAGGCAGCCCTACCATCTCTTGCCCACTCAGCCCAGCAATATTTCTTCTCTCTGGGGCAGAGGCTGGCAGGGTCCTGAACCCACACCTGGGCCCAGTGGAAGAGCGTCTGGCCCTGCACGTCCTCCAGCAGCAGGGCCTGGTCCCCGAACACGTGGAGTCCCGGCCCCTCTACAGCCCCCTGCAGCCAGACATCGAGCAGGTAAGATGTCAAGCCTCAGGCCCCAGAGCCCCTGAGCCCCAGCTAGCCCTGCCCCAGGACAGCACTGGGACCCCAGAGCCGCTGTCAGGGACCTCAGGATTTGGCCAGCCCCTCCTTGTTGGTGTTGCTCCACAGTCTGAGTGGTTACCATTGCCGGCCCATGAGGGCCACCCTTGGGCCTGGCCTCCCCTGGCTACCAGCAGCCCTCAGGGCCAGCGGAATGAGCCTGCGCTGCTTCCTCATCCTGTTTGGGCTGGACCATGGCTTTCCACGAGTCATTCCAAAGCCAGCCTGGCCTCAGGGTGACCTCCTCAACCACTGGTCAGTGATTGCCCTGATGGCCGGCTCTGTTCTGGGCTGTAGGGGGTAGTTCAGACAGGATGACCGGCACCCTACGACAGAGTGGCAGCCCCAGAGAGGGCAGTCGTCAGGAGGGCCAAGGGCACCCTCCCATGCAGAGGGATGGCAGGCCCGGGGCTGAGACTGGGGAGGTGTCCTCGAGTGGGTGAGCTGGGTAGATTTTGGAGGCGGAGGAGGAGGCGAGAAAAGGTTATAGGCAAAGAAGGACTGAGGCCGCCGTGAAGGTGCCTGCGCGGACATGCAGAGGACATCATTTCTGCTGTTTGGAACTGGGCTCTCCTCCCCTTGGCCATGTGGCCACCAGCTCCCGCGTGGAACAGTGGGTGCTGATGCATCAGCCCTCTCATTCTCTGGCTATGTACCCTGAATAACTTACTTCAGTCTCTGCTCCTTCTTCTGTAAGATGGGAGCAGAAAAATACCTGCTTGTGAGAGGGAAGAGGCTAAGGGTGGCGAGTTGAGTGGTTTCCTGTCATGGAGATCCTGTGAGACCCCTGGGACTAAAGCATGCTGCCTGGCCCTCCACGGTTTTGCCTATACCATTCTCTTCGCTGGTAGTACCCTTCTCCCTTTTCCATCTGGCACCCCGAGACTCCCTGTCTCTGAGAAGCCTGCCCTGACCCTTGGCCCCCGGGCACAGGCCCATGTGATTGGCCTGTGGGGCAGTGGGCTCACCTCTTCAGTGGGCCCTGTAGTCCCTTTACTGGCACCTCCTCTGTGGGGTGGTGAGCCTCTCCAGGGCAGGGCCTGGGTTTTCTCTGTTCAGTGCCCGAGATATATGGCACAGAGCAGGAGGCCATAGTGTTGGCTGAATGAAAAGGATGGGGTGAGAACAGGGTCTTGTCTCCTCAGGGGAAGCTGCAGATGTGGATCGACCTATTTCCAAAGGCCCTGGGGCGACCTGGACCTCCCTTCAACATCACCCCACGGAGAGCCAAAAGGTGACCCTCCCCAGCCACAGGCTGGAGCTGAGCAGGGTGGTGGGATGGTTGCAGCCAGTACGGGTGGGACCAGCAGGTCACCCTTGGGCCAGGCTTTCGGCCACTCAGGATGCAGGGTGCTGCCTCTGTGTGGGCCTGGCCAAGGGTCCAGCCAGCCGAGCACCAGATCTTTGTGGGTGAGCCAGCTTCTTGACTTCTCTGTCAAGGACTGACCACCCTTTGGTGGGAGATCCACATGGATTTGAGTCATTCTTCTTCGCAGGTTTTTCCTGCGTTGCATTATCTGGAACACCAAGGATGTGATCCTGGATGACCTCAGCATCACCGGGGAGAAGATGAGCGATATTTACGTGAAAGGGTGAGGAGTAATCCTTCCTTCCTCCTGTCCCACCCCCATAGCACTGCCCCTGTCCCCTCTAGGGAGGTACCCAGGGTGAAGGGGGAGCTCTGGTCTAGGGAGGGGGGAGAACAAGAAAGGAAGAAGGGTCTAATGGGGGTGGTCTCTGCCTCAGGGGAGTTGTCCCCACACCCGGTTTCTTCTATGTTAACCTTTGGGTTGAACTTACAAGGTTTGAGGCTATCCCTCAAGAGGGAAGTAGCAATGTTTTAAAATTTATGGCACATTTGGTACATCATGGAGATTTCTTTAGTTCACTTATTTCTAAATTCCTCATTTGCCTAAGTTGATGCATATTGTGATTGAAACCTTAACCAAAAATGTAATCTAAAATGTCTATGTCTAGTTGGATGGTTGGCTTTGAAGAACACAAGCAAAAGACAGACGTGCATTATCGGTCCCTGGGAGGAGAGGGCAACTTTAACTGGAGGTTCATTTTCCCCTTTGATTACCTGCCAGCTGAGCAAGTCTGCACCGTCTCCAAGAAGGTAAATGTCCTTCCCATCCCCAGGGGCTTTCTAATGCCAGTGTGACCACACTACCAGTCACCCCCACACTGTCATACCCTCACCTCTGCCCTGCGCTGTTGGGGTCACCACAGCCATCACTGCATGATGACCACCACTGCCCTGTCATCGCTGCCATTGTCCCCATCACCATGCCACTACCACAGCTTCTAGCACTGCTCCCCTTAATGCCAAGGCCACCACCACCATCTCCATGCCCGTCCTCTCCTTCCACATTTACCCTTGTCGCTGTCATCAGCGTTGCCGCCACCCCATAACCACCCCTGCCCGTGCCACAGCCATGGTCTGAGGCCGAGCCCAAATCCTCCAACTCCTGCCTTGCCCTGCCCCAGACTAACCAAGCAGCAGGAAGGGTCGTGGGGTCAGAGCAAAGAACATTTGTAGGGAAACCCAGCAAGGCCATCATAGGGACAGTAGGGCAGGCCCTGTAGGGAGAGCTTCCCAAGAGGCAAGCCTGGGCTATCCGTCAGTTTGTTTATAGGATTGAGTGTGGCTTAGCTAAGTCCCTCCTGCTACCCAGTGTCCCACATTTCTGTGTCTGATATCTGGAGTCAGTGTCCAAGCTGGACATTCCTTGGGAGAAGCTCTGCCCTTTCAGGCCTGCAGCCACTGTCCCCCTCCCTCCTCCTCCCTCCCCTCACCTAGGCTGAAGGCACCTGCAGAGACCTGGCACCTGGTGCGAAGGGAGAGGTGGGTTCAGGGACCCCAGCTCCCCGTGTTTGAGCACCTCCTAGTCTAGGTCTCATCTGGGGCATAAACTCTTTCTTTTTAAATTTTTATTAAGATATCATTGATACACACTCTTATGAAGGTTTCACATGATAAAACAGTGTGGTTACTACATTCACCCATGATACCAAGTCCCCCCTGTACCCCATTGCAGTCTCTGTCCATCAGTGTGGTAAGATGCCACAGAGTCACTACTTGTCTTCTCTGTGCTACATTGTCTTCCCTGTGACACACACACACCACATGCACCAATCATGATACCCCACGATCCCCTTCTCCCTCCCATGCACCCTCCCACACCCCTCCCCTTTGGTAACCACTAGTCCCTTCCTGGAGTCTGTGAGTCTGCTGCTGTTCCTTCCTTCAGTTTGGCTTCGTTGTTATACTCCACAAATGAGGGAAATCCTTTGGCCCTTGTCTTTCTCTGCCTGGCTTATTTCACTGAGCATAATGTCCTCCAGCTCCATTCATGATAAACTCTTCTCTTGAAAGAGTAGATCCCGAGGCAGGTGGGCTCCTTCCTGGGGGCAGTGCACCCACCCCTAGGAGCAGCCCCTAGAGCATAGGCAAGAGTGCCATAGGCAGGGACAGCTGCTTGAGGGCAGGCCCCCCCCCGCATTGGGGGGGAGCTTCTGACCACCGCATCCCACCTTGGGGTGCTTTCCGGATTAATAGAGTAAACGCCTCTTTGGTGTTCAAGTTCTGCTGCTCTGATCTCCTTCCAGAGGTGGCACAAGGCTCAGGATGCAGAGCTGCCGTTACTCCCCTTCCTTTCCTGAGTGGCTGAGTGGCTGCAGGAAGGGAACTACCTGATGCACTGGGGCTCCCAGGTCCTCCTAATTCTCCTTATTCCATCCTTCCTACATGACCCCTTCCCAGCCCAGTACACAGGATCATCTGCACTTTAGGGAAACCAAAATATTCCCCTGAACTTTTGAAACTACCAAATGAAAGAAAATTGGGTTAAACAAGGTTCAAGGAGTTCTCTCACCCAGGAACTTCTGCCTAGTGCTTGCCAGAAGCAGAGTCCAGTGACTGCCTCGGGCTTTGTGCAGCCAAGGCAAGCTCACCCCATTGGGGGTTTGATGGTGTGTGCCTGTGTGCTTGGTGCTTATCTATCACAGGTTGCTTCCATAACAGAGGAAATGCTGCCTTACTTTACTGTGGACAGAGGGAGGTAGGGGCCAGGAAGGAGGAAGGGAGGGCTGAGGTGTCATGCATGCCATCTGGGGGCTCACCAAGCCCTACAAGGGGCTAGGCATGGATGGGAAATGAAGGCCGTGAGGTGTGATTGGACTACTCAGACAGGAAGTGGGCATCTGGTGGAGATGTGGGCGAGGAGGTGCAGGAAGGAGGCTTCTGTTTTTTTCTGCAAAGTAGGAGAGAGAATCTCCTGGCGCTGTGGCAGGTGATTTGAGATAAATGGAAAAGGCTGGAAGTAGCTGTTATTCTGAGTGGGAGAGAGGGAGAGGGAGAGTTAATTGGTGGCACAGAGAAGGGGTACCTGGAAGTTCTGATGGCACAGTTGGTGTTGCTGGTTAAGAATTGGAGGTGGTTCCATTCTGGCAGTGATGGAGTTTTCTGCAGTATAGGCTGGCAAGGAAGAAGGAGAGAATTGGGCTGACCCACAGTACAGCCCCTGGCCTCCCAAGGTCGGGGGAGTGGAGGGCGAGTCCAGCAGTCCAGAAAAGACACCTGGGAGGGGGCAGGGGTGTAGTCATGGGAACTGTGTGTGGTAAAAATTTTGTCTGCTGGGAGACAGTGGCTGGAGCGAGGAGTGGAAGAGGTCGGAAGGGGTTCTGACCTCCAGGGGGTTCTGAAGCCAAGCAGGAAAGTGAGGGAGGAGCTGGCTTGACTCAGGCAGAGACAGTGGTCCTCTGTGGCGGGACTCTGGGATGCAGGGGGAGCTCTGCCCACAGAGGGGCACCAGGGAGCTGGTCGGGCCAAAGGACTGAGTCTGGGGGTGGGGGGCGCTACACAGCCTCTGGGTGCCCCGGTCCTGCTGCAGAGCCAGCCTTCTGCTGAGGGGTTCAGGGCCTCTGGCAGGCAGGCCCTCCAGGGACCCCATTAACCAGACAAGACTGTCATAAAGTACAAGGTTTCCTTTCATCCGGCAGCTTTGAACCACCGCTGGTTGCCCCGGCCTGGCTCCCCACCTGGAGCCCAGCACACCCACTGGGGCCTGCCTGTGAGTCAGGCACCCACCCTGCAAATAAACAGCTAGTAAAAGGGCCCAGACCAGGAGTGTAATGAGCGCGTAGGACCTGGGGGGCCATTCCCCAGGCTGGAGCCCCAGCCCAGCTGCTCCCACCAGGGGCTGTTTGAACCTCTGGCTCATTACTGAGCCCATAAACCAGGCTGGCCAGAGGAATGGAGGATGCTGGCGGTCTGTGCAGGCGGGCCTGTGGAGCTGGCCATAAAAGCCCTGCCAGAGGAGGGAGGCACCTGCAGGAGGGCTGGGGTCTGGAAGAGGGGGAGGACCAGACGGGGGCCAGCTGGGGACCTGAGCCCTTTCACCAACCCAGGCAGCAGTCTAGGCTGTGGCCGGGTGCTTTGCAAGGGGACCATTGCTGAAGGATGCATGCTCTTTGGTTCAGAAGCTCTGTGCGTCTGGTGGCCATGCAGCAGGCACAGCCCTGGCTGGGGGCAAGGCTGTGTGTACAGAGCTCATTCAGCAGTGTTCCCTGCTCCCATGGATCTGTCTCCCCACCCGTGAGACTTGGTCCAGCCTCTGCTGTGGCCTGGCATTCAGCGCCTGACACCCATCATCTGGGAGATGGTCAGAATGTTTTCTGTCCTTGCCACTCACCGAGGAGAAGCTACAGGGAGAGGATAGAGAACAAGTGAGAGTGACAGTCCCAGTGACAGCCCTTTGGGTTGAGCGTGGTCAGACCCAGGGGCGAGCCCAAGCTTCAGCATGTCCTCTCCCCACCCCACGAGGCCTCTGCGGGAAGAAGCTCAAGGCGGCACTGATCCAGGCTGACTGACTGAGGGGAGTGGGGTGGGTAGAGCAGCAGGGTGGTGAACTTTGCTTTTGATTTTGCCCAGGGCAGGCTCTTGGAGGTGAAGGTGGGGTGGCTTGGCGTGGTGAGGGAGGAGCTGGGGTGGCTGCCTCCCCGTGCCAGCCTCTTGCAGCAGTGTCAGAGGGATCCTTCTCCTAGCAGCCAGGGTGGCATGGGGTAACCCCCGGCTCCCAGGCAGCCCCCCCTGTTCCCAGGATCACATGGGCAGACAGGATTTAGTGGTGAGATCAGGGCTCTGGGACCTGACTGCCTGTGTGCGACATCCTTGTGTGCCATCTCTCAGTGGTGTTACTCAGACAAGTTAGTTGCTCTGGTTTCCTCAGCTGTAAGGATAGTATCTTCCTTACAGGTTGTTGGAAGGATAAATGAGTTCATAGTGGTAAAGGGCTGATACAAAAGAAGTACCATATTAATATTATTCTATTAGCTGTCAGATCTTGGGCAAATTCTTAACTTCTCCAAGCCTGTTTCATCATCTGTAAAGTGGGAGTGAGAACCTTGACCCACTAAATTGGAAGGATTAGTGAAGCCACGTTATGTGAAACGAGACTGTGTTGTAACTTCCTGGGCTCTTGAATACTGTCCTCTGTGGGTCTTAGTAATCTTCCCGCCAAGACCTGGCTCTGGCAAGTCCCTAAGGCAAGTCCCACTCCACCGCCTCCTACAGGAAGCCTTCCAGGCCGGAAGGGACCACCGCCTTTCTCTAATCTTGCTTCCCTGTTTCCTCCTCTGCTCCTCCTCGGGGCCAGGATGCTTTCTGGAGGCTGGACAAGACTGAGAGCAAAATCCCAGCCCGAGTGGTGTTCCAGATCTGGGACAACGACAGGTTCTCCTTTGATGACTTTCTGGGTAAGCACTGTTTCCAGTCAGGACCGTTCAGCAAACTGCCCGCTGACGCAGAACCCCTGCTGTGTGTATGCGCCATTCTTGGGAGGGCTGGCAGTCCTGCTTTCTGCCCTCAGGGAGCTCAGAGTTGCCGGTCGCCGGTGCTGAGTAAGGTCTGTGACACGGATCAGTGGCAGAGCGATCAGAGTGGCCAGTGGGTGGGCCTGGAAGCACAGTGACATTGCACACCGGCCAGTGTTGGCTGGTAGGACTCAGATAGGAAGAGAGGAAAGCACAGGTTGAAGGTAGTGAGTGCACATGTGCTCTGCTGTGCCCCAATCCCCCCAGACAGGATACTGGTTAGGGAGAAGCGTGCTGGAACCCCGAGCAGGGGAGCAGGATGCTGTGAAGACAGCACTCTCATAGGGGGAGATATGGGGTGAGGACAGCATCATACTGGGCCAGAAGGCCAGACTGCTGTGATAATAGCCCCATCACAACTATAGCAGTTAGCCTGGAAAATGTGGTCCAGCCATACAAGTGGATATTATTCAGCCATAGAAAGACATGAAATACTGAGGCATGCTACAACATGGGTAAACCTTGAAAACATACTAAGTGAAAGAAGCCAAACACAGAAGGACAAGCACTGTATGATCCCATTGGTATAAAATGTCCACAGTAGGCAAATCCGTAGAGACACAAAGTTGGTTGTAGTTGTGGGGGGCAGGGGATGAGACAGTGGGAATGGAGAGTGACTGCTAATGGGAATGGTGTTCCTTTGGGGGGTGATGGAAATGTTCTGGAATTAGGTAGTGCTGGTGGTTGCACAGCTCTGTGAATATACTAAAAGCTACTGAGTTGTGCACTTTAAAATGGTTAATATGCTGCATTGTACTGAAATAATAGAAATAAAAAAGGGGAATCTGTGAGAAAGGCAGCCAGGGAAGTCAGGGGTGCTGAGTTTTGTTCCACTTTGCCACCTGGGAGGGGCGTGGCCTTGGCTGAATCACTGGCGCCCTCCTTGGGGGTGTCCTTGATTGCAGAAAAGTGAGTTGGGCTTTGCTGAGCCCTTGGCGCCTGCCAGGAAGTTCTGAGGAGCAGCCCAGGCAGGGGTAAGGAAAAGGTTGCAGGTCCCCTGCCACGCCCGCCTGCTCACCTGCACCCCAGGGGCTGGGGGCGCTCTAGGTGTTTACTGTCAAAGATTCAGGGTGTCAAAATCATGGCATTAAATTAGACTTTTACTACTTATTATTCTGGAATACAAAATTCCTGTAGAAAAATTAGAAAAAATTAGAAAATAGAAACAATGCCTCTCTTTACTATGTATTATAATCTCATTACCTAGAGATAAACCTTCACTAATTTCTGTATTATTTCACATATAAGCAAGCATACATATGTGTATTTTATACATATATAAACATATGTACATATATGACAAATGTAGCAAAATGGGTTTATAGTACACGTACTGTTTTATATCTCAGTTTTCTGGGAAAATTCAGTATTTCAAAAACATCCTTTCTGTTGGTAGTTACCTATCTACATTTCTATCTGCATCATTGTACTTAATTCCTGCCTGATGTTCTGGCATACAGATGGACCCTTCTCTGCCTAACTAATCTCTTGATGGGGTACCCAGGTCATCTCCAGGTTGTCTGGCCTGAGTGACACCCTTAGGCACACATCTTGGAAACCTTTGTGTGTATCATTCCCGAACCCTAAAAACAGATTTTTAGCCTCCACACATTTAATGGTTTTTGAAACATTTTGTTCAATTGTCCTCTAAAAAGGTTTTGCATTTTTATACTCCCACCTATGCCCTGTTTGTATAAAGGTGAGATTTTCCCTAAACTTTTGCTACCAGTGTTAACCTTGTAAAAAAATTGCCAATATGATACCTTGTTTTTATTTTTATTTGTATTTCCTCATTAGTTGTGTGGTAGACCTTTAAAAATATATTTATTATCCATATTACCAGTAGGCTTTCTTTTTCATGGTTTTGGGATATTCATCTTTTATATATTATTGATTTTCAGAGCTTTTGTCTAGTAAGGCCACATTACAAAGAATTTCTCCCATTTTTTCAACAGCTTTTAAATTTTTTATGGAGTCTTTTTTGTTTATAGACTAAAAAGTTTTTTTGCATCAACCTATCTTTCCTTTGGGGGGTGGAGCTTTAGAAAGTTAATTTTAAAGAGAAAAACAAAGAAAACTGCATTTTTACTGAATTAGAAAACAATGCTCAAAATAAAATTAAATGGGTTCCTCTGTTGTTTTTAAAACGAAAACTATTAAAACTACTGTATTTAACTCTACAAGATTTTTTACTTCTTCATAATGTGTAATTTCTTCATTACACATTTTACTTCACTTGAATATTTATTAATTTAAAAGTAATAACTAAAATCTGTGATCTCATCATCCAGAGATAATCCTGTTTCCTTATAATCTTTTATATAGCTCATGCTGGGGTAATTGTGTGTGTATGTGTGTGTGTGCATGTGGTTTAATATACTAATTTTTCTTAAAATTATATTGAGACCATATTTAAAATAGGAAATAAACATTCATTACACTTGAGGGATAGAGAAATGTGGGAATGTAGATAGGTGAATGCTGATATGGAGTTGAGCAAATGGATAGATATAGCATTCAACAAATGGAATCTATAAAGGGATGTAGATAGTTAATTCAAAGTAGAAAGAAGGACAAATGGATAAGTGGAAAGCAAGAAAACTAGAAAAATAGAATCAGTGGATACTTGCAGTAAGTAACCAAGCATTCCACACTGAAAAAATCTAATCTCCTTTGCATGGTATTCAAGAATTTCTTTAATTTGGCCTCAGAAAACATTTTTTAGATTTCTCTCTCTCACTTAATCCGTTCAATAACCCATGCTCCAATCCCATTGACTTCATCATGTTGTTTTGATTGGATTAGGTGAAACCACATGAGATTGCTTCTTTTATAGGTCAAAGGTAGTTAAATACCAGCATTTTCATATGGTTCAATCAAATAGATGAAGCTATACAGGGAGATAATAGATGAAATGGATGAGGAATAAACAGTATAGAAAGATGACTGCTTGGATATCTAGGTAGGCAGATGAAAAAATTGGTGGATGAACCACAGTGAGATACCACGTCCCACCCATTAGGATGGCTATCAAATCGTAAAAACAAAATATAGAAAATAACAAGTCCTGGAGAGGATGTGGAGAAATTGGAAGGCTTGGACATTGATGGTGTGAATGTAAAATGGTGCAGCTGCTGTGGAAAACAGCTTGGCAGGTCCTCAAAAAGCAAAACGTAGAAATTATCACATGACCAAGCAATTCTACCCTTAGTTATATGATCAATAGAATTGAGAAAGGAGACTGAGACACTTGTATGGCAATGGTCACTGAAGTGTTATTCACAATAGCCACAGGGTGGGAACAATCCAAGTGTTCATCAGTGGGTAAATAAAACTCAGTCTCTCCATGCCATGGAATATTACTCAGCCATAAAAAGGAATGACATACTGATAAATACTACAACATAGATGAACCTGGAAAACATGCTAAACATGTGAAGTGAGCCAGACTCAAAAGGACAAATATTTTATGATTCTACTTATATGAAAAATCTACAATAGGCAAATTTATACAGACAGAAAATAGGTTAAAGGTTATAAGGGCTGAGAGGAGAGGGGAATGGGGTTTTATTGCTGAATAGGTACAGAGTTTCCATTTGGGGGGGATGACAAGCTTCTGGAAATAGGTAGTGATGGTTGCATGACATTGTACATATAATTAGTGCCACTGCATTATATGTTCAAAAGTGGTTAAAATGCCATATTTTATGTTATATGTATTTTACCACAATAAAAATAATTAAAAAAATCGATGGATGTAGACAATGGTTGAATGAACAGGTTTGTATAACACAGTGAGATGGATAGTTGTGCATGTGGGAAGCACTGTTAAGGTGACTCGGTAAAGGCAGGTTAATGGGCATATGGATGAATAGATGGGTGGGAAGCTCATAGAGGAGATAAGGCAGTGGATGGGCAGATGGAGCATTTGGGGGATTCGACCCATGGCTAAGTCCATGGATAGAAGCTGAAGAGGTACAGTGAGTGTTCCTTGAACCTGTCCAGGCCCAGGGTAGCCTAGGTTGGCAGTGATAGAGAAACCTTCGGCCAAAGGACCCCTCTCTGCCGCAGGCTCCTTGCAGCTGGATCTCAACCACATGCCCAAGCCTGCCAAGACAGCCGAGAAATGCTCCTTGGACCAGCTGGATGACACTTTCCACCCAGAGCGGTTTGTGTCCCTTTTTGAACAGAAAACAGTGAAGGGCTGGTGGCCCTGCATGGCAGAAGAGGCTGAGAGGAAGACCCTGGGGGTAAGTCTGCTCCCTCCAGCCCAGTGGAGGTGCAGGCGTGGCTGCTTCTGTGAGGATCACTGAGCGCATACGTATCACTCCCTCTCTCCTACCCCGAGTCTCTCTGCGTTCCAAGGCACCCGCCTTCTCTTCCAGTTCACAGCCTTCCTCTATTTGAGGCTCAAATTCCAGCAGGGCTTATTTAAGCCAAAAGATGCTCTTATCTCCCATGGATCCTGTTAAATTCACACTCTGCTCTTTGGCCATCAGTGATCTGTGTCCTGGGTTCCCCTGTGGCCTGGGCTTCCTGTGGAGGACACAGGAGTGCCTCTCCCATTTGAGCAGGACTCAAAGCTATCAAGGACTGTCCTTGTACTAGTGTCCCTGCCCAGAGGTCTGCCCAGGGGTGTGACAGGACAGACCATGGAGAGAGGAATCCCTTCCTTTGGAGAGGAAGTGAATCCCTGACAGTTTACTTAGAAGCCGCAGGCAGCCAGCCAGCCCCTGAAGTGGCCCTTGAAACAAAATATTCTTGTTGTATAAGGAACTGAAACATTTATTAAGAAATACTAACACCTCAAAAGAAAAATGAGCAAAGGGCATACAAAGAAGTACAAGTGGCCATTAAACACTGGAAGAGCTTATTCCCCCAGTGATTAAATAAAGGGGTATTTTAAAATGTGAAAGCATCCTTTTGCCTACTAAATTAGATTTAAAAAGAAGAAATGCTCATTGCTGGTGAAGATGCAGAGAGACAGGTCACCTCATTTACTTCTGTGGAGAGTGCTAATGGTTTTACCATTGGGGTAACAATTTAGTAATACATAGCCAGAGATGAACAATATTTTTGCTCTTGAACTCTGTCATCCCACTTCTAGAATCTCTCCTAAAGAAATAACCAGATATAATTGAAAATGTAGGTTCTGGGATGTTTGTTGCATCCTTACTTATAACATCAAAGAGTTGGAAATAACCTAAATGAACCAAAATAAGTAGTTTACTAAGAAAATTATGTTCAACCATCTATAGGATGTTTTACAGCCATTAAAAAGCAAACTTTAAAGAATATATAATTATACAGTGAAATATGATATATTTCTAAGTGAAAGAACCAAGCTATAGAACTGTATATACACTGAGATATTTCCTATGCTGCAGAGAAAAACAACTCTGGTGCATAAAAATATAGTGCTTATTTCCATGTAGTGGAAGTATGTTTTCCTTTCTTTGTACGTTTCTGTAGTCGCTAAATGTTCTACAAGGAACAGGTGCTGCTTTTACGATCAGATCAATCCCACTTCCTTTCCCTTCTTTTCTTTTCTTTCCCTTTCTCTTTCTTTCTTTTTTTTTTAAAGAGAATGAAGTGGTTCTTGTATGTGTCCTGGCCTGGTGCTTTCCCAAGCCATGGGACGGAGCCTTTGTGTGCCTGACCAGTTCCCTCTGTTCCATTAGGGCAAGCTGGAGATGACCTTGGAGATTGTAGCAGAGAGTGAGCATGAGGAACGGCCTGCTGGCCAGGGCCGAGATGAGCCCAACATGAATCCTAAGCTCGAGGACCCCAGGTTAGTACCTGGCCCAGACCGCTGATGCCTAGGGGGCTGGGAGGTGTAGCCACAGGCCAGAGGGCACTCACCGCCTAGCCGCGCAGAAGTCATGAAGCCCATATGGCTCTGAGATGGATGTGACTCATTCCAGAGACACACAGAAGGTTAGGGGCAGGTGACAGGCATCGCTCCTGGGAATGTTGGGCTCCTCAGCTAATTTAAGAAGCAGGCACTTTTGGGTAGCTGTTCGTGGGATGCTGAGCCTGCTGTCATAGGGCAGGTATATATTGTGGTATGGAACCTTCCCTATGGGGTTGTTATTATTATCATCCCCATTTTGCAGATGAGGAAACAATCTCAGCAAAGTTTAATAAGGTCGTCCCTCTGGTAAAATGGTGAAGCTGGAATTCTCATACCTGGTGTGATTGGCTCTGGAGCCCAATCAAGGTCTTTTCCCTGACTAAGCTGCCTTCTGTGGCTCTCATGTGGTATCAATGTGGTTTTTAAATGACCTTTCTGCCTTGATTTTCCTATTTGTGAAATGGGGCCACTGGCTCCTGGCTTCCCTACCTCACAGACCCTAACAGGATATAGACCAATCCAACAGAGGGAGAAGCTTTGTAGGCAGTTATTGGGGACTGAAAGATGGTTGGAGGCGGGGGTGGTATTTGCATTTGCTGGGTCCCTCCCCATGGCCCGTGTGACTCAGGTCAGACTTAGCACAGATGGCCCACCTGTCACACTCCCTCCTCAGTACCATGGGCCGGCAGAGCAGTGAGAGGCATCCTCACCAAAGGACGCTGGGATCTGGGTGAAAAGACAAGAAAGACCTGGGAGACCCAGTGGCATACAGTCTGATGTTAAAATGGCCCTTGTTGAGGCACAAAATCCTGCATGTCCATTGAGTTGCAAGGCTGACCTAGGGGAAGGTTTTGTAGTTCTTGGTTGAGAAAATCAGTGAGAGAAAAATCAGCTTTCGGGGTTCACCTCCTGCCATTCTTCCCTGACCATGGACTGGCCATGTGCATCTGGGCAGGTGGCCGGGCTTGTCTGGGACTGTGGGCCACAGCTCACCTAATGGGGCAGCCCCTTGAGGCTCTGCTCAGCCCCCACATCACTACTCTGGGATTAAGTCCTGGATCAGGAGGAGAGAGGGTGTCAGGGGGTCTAAGATCTGGGCCCTTGAGGGTGTGGAGGGCTTAGTGGCACCCTGACAAGGAGGGCAGCACAGGTGGGGCTCATGTGGTGGCCAAAGCTTGGAGGAGAAGGGAACGCAGCTACAGAGGGCTGGTTTGAGGGGCAGGGGCTGAGGCCCTTGAGGCTGGGCTGGCCCTGGGCACTTGTGGAGAGGGCCAGGGTGATTGGGGAGCAGGGTTTAGAGAAGGCTGCTGCAGTAGGGGTGCCCTGCTGACCTCTGGGATCTCACTCACAGGCGCCCTGACACCTCCTTCCTCTGGTTCACGTCCCCGTACAAGACCATGAAGTTCATCCTGTGGCGGCGGTTCCGGTGTGCCATTGTCCTCTTCATCATCCTCTTCATCCTCCTGCTGTTCGTGGGCATCTTCATCTACGCCTTCCCGGTGAGCGGGCCTGAGGGGAGGCATGGAGCCTGTCTTGGAGGAGCCCTTGGTTTGATGAGGGAGACGTAGCCTCCACTCTGGGGGGTTCCTAGTCTGGGAAGGAGACACAGTCCTACCCTTGGAACAGAGTCCCAAGGCAAAGTCCTCATAGTCCAGTGGGAGAAACTGAGTCCTTGCCCTTGATGGGAGACACAGCTGTGCTTGGCAAGCCCTTGGGAGGTGAGGCTTCTTGGATAGGGGTAGGCAGGGGAACCTTGTTGAAGGAGCATGTGAGGCTGGGCATGGAAGGGAAGGGAAGGTGCATGTGGCAGAGCAGAGAAGAAGGCCCCTCATTTCTGAGAATGGCTCCTTTGAGGGCCAGAGGAAGGGAGGAGCTGGGCTGGGATAGAGCGTGCCCTGGCTCCTGCAGCAGGGTGGGCAGGGCGCCGGCCCAGAAGCCTGTCACTTGGCATGGTGCACCCTGGGGGTCCCTCTCACCTGGTGAGAAGCCAGATGATGCCTGAGTCACACTAGTGAGGGCTGCACCCCCAGCTCCACTGGGCCCCTCCCAAGGGAGGAGGGTCTGCATCTCTGTTCCCTGCCTGTTCTTCCTGGTCCTCACAGCTCAGCTCATGAGGGTAACCTTGAAGATGCTCCAGTCCCCACTCTGAGTCACTAGTACTTCAGACCTCGAAGTGATCATGGTGTGTCTAGGCTGACACCTGATTTGTGATGTTTTTTAAATTTTAAAAAGCTTTTTAGTATGAAAATTTGAAACCATATGCAAGTAGAGAGAATGGTATGATCAACAACTCCATGTCATCCTGATTTTAACAGCAAAGAAATAGACACCTAGAGAAGGGAGGGGGCTGGTTCAGGTCTGAGTGGCAGTATGTGTCTGGCGCCTCACCAGGCTTCTAGGCTCCATCCTGGTCAGCACCAGGCCGCCAGCCCCATGCATGTCCCCACAGCAAACAGTCTGCTCTGGGGATTCCTCACCTGTGCACTCTTTGCTTTGTGAATCCTCCAGGAGGACAGAGAGCTCTCTCCTACGGTGGCTGGTAAGGCCTTGTATCAGTAGAGCATGCTTTCTGTGAGCAAGATGGTTAAAACCTCAACGCCATCCCCTTCAGTCCCTAATATCAGGGACTTTGAAGAACAGCAGAGGGGACTGTCTGGTGTGGACACCTAGGCCCTAGCCACCCTCTGGGCTCTGGCAATGGTTGCTTGGAGTGCCAGGCTGAAACGTGTTCTGAGGCTCAGCAAGAAGAGTCATGGCCAATTGGCCAAATATGGCTGCACTCCAGGGGTGGGTTCACATCACAGGGAAAGCTCCCTCCAGCCCAGTGGAGGTGCAGGCGTGGCTGCTTCTGTGAGGATCACTGAGCGCATACGTATCACTCCCTCTCTCCTACCCCGAGTCTCTCTGCGTTCCAAGGCACCCGCCTTCTCTTCCAGTTCACAGCCTTCCTCTATTTGAGGCTCAAATTCCAGCAGGGCTTATTTAAGCCAAAAGATGCTCTTATCTCCCATGGATCCTGTTAAATTCACACTCTGCTCTTTGGCCATCAGTGATCTGTGTCCTGGGTTCCCCTGTGGCCTGGGCTTCCTGTGGAGGACACAGGAGTGCCTCTCCCATTTGAGCAGGACTCAAAGCTATCAAGGACTGTCCTTGTACTAGTGTCCCTGCCCAGAGGTCTGCCCAGGGGTGTGACAGGACAGACCATGGAGAGAGGAATCCCTTCCTTTGGAGAGGAAGTGAATCCCTGACAGTTTACTTAGAAGCCGCAGGCAGCCAGCCAGCCCCTGAAGTGGCCCTTGAAACAAAATATTCTTGTTGTATAAGGAACTGAAACATTTATTAAGAAATACTAACACCTCAAAAGAAAAATGAGCAAAGGGCATACAAAGAAGTACAAGTGGCCATTAAACACTGGAAGAGCTTATTCCCCCAGTGATTAAATAAAGGGGTATTTTAAAATGTGAAAGCATCCTTTTGCCTACTAAATTAGATTTAAAAAGAAGAAATGCTCATTGCTGGTGAAGATGCAGAGAGACAGGTCACCTCATTTACTTCTGTGGAGAGTGCTAATGGTTTTACCATTGGGGTAACAATTTAGTAATACATAGCCAGAGATGAACAATATTTTTGCTCTTGAACTCTGTCATCCCACTTCTAGAATCTCTCCTAAAGAAATAACCAGATATAATTGAAAATGTAGGTTCTGGGATGTTTGTTGCATCCTTACTTATAACATCAAAGAGTTGGAAATAACCTAAATGAACCAAAATAAGTAGTTTACTAAGAAAATTATGTTCAACCATCTATAGGATGTTTTACAGCCATTAAAAAGCAAACTTTAAAGAATATATAATTATACAGTGAAATATGATATATTTCTAAGTGAAAGAACCAAGCTATAGAACTGTATATACACTGAGATATTTCCTATGCTGCAGAGAAAAACAACTCTGGTGCATAAAAATATAGTGCTTATTTCCATGTAGTGGAAGTATGTTTTCCTTTCTTTGTACGTTTCTGTAGTCGCTAAATGTTCTACAAGGAACAGGTGCTGCTTTTACGATCAGATCAATCCCACTTCCTTTCCCTTCTTTTCTTTTCTTTCCCTTTCTCTTTCTTTCTTTTTTTTTTAAAGAGAATGAAGTGGTTCTTGTATGTGTCCTGGCCTGGTGCTTTCCCAAGCCATGGGACGGAGCCTTTGTGTGCCTGACCAGTTCCCTCTGTTCCATTAGGGCAAGCTGGAGATGACCTTGGAGATTGTAGCAGAGAGTGAGCATGAGGAACGGCCTGCTGGCCAGGGCCGAGATGAGCCCAACATGAATCCTAAGCTCGAGGACCCCAGGTTAGTACCTGGCCCAGACCGCTGATGCCTAGGGGGCTGGGAGGTGTAGCCACAGGCCAGAGGGCACTCACCGCCTAGCCGCGCAGAAGTCATGAAGCCCATATGGCTCTGAGATGGATGTGACTCATTCCAGAGACACACAGAAGGTTAGGGGCAGGTGACAGGCATCGCTCCTGGGAATGTTGGGCTCCTCAGCTAATTTAAGAAGCAGGCACTTTTGGGTAGCTGTTCGTGGGATGCTGAGCCTGCTGTCATAGGGCAGGTATATATTGTGGTATGGAACCTTCCCTATGGGGTTGTTATTATTATCATCCCCATTTTGCAGATGAGGAAACAATCTCAGCAAAGTTTAATAAGGTCGTCCCTCTGGTAAAATGGTGAAGCTGGAATTCTCATACCTGGTGTGATTGGCTCTGGAGCCCAATCAAGGTCTTTTCCCTGACTAAGCTGCCTTCTGTGGCTCTCATGTGGTATCAATGTGGTTTTTAAATGACCTTTCTGCCTTGATTTTCCTATTTGTGAAATGGGGCCACTGGCTCCTGGCTTCCCTACCTCACAGACCCTAACAGGATATAGACCAATCCAACAGAGGGAGAAGCTTTGTAGGCAGTTATTGGGGACTGAAAGATGGTTGGAGGCGGGGGTGGTATTTGCATTTGCTGGGTCCCTCCCCATGGCCCGTGTGACTCAGGTCAGACTTAGCACAGATGGCCCACCTGTCACACTCCCTCCTCAGTACCATGGGCCGGCAGAGCAGTGAGAGGCATCCTCACCAAAGGACGCTGGGATCTGGGTGAAAAGACAAGAAAGACCTGGGAGACCCAGTGGCATACAGTCTGATGTTAAAATGGCCCTTGTTGAGGCACAAAATCCTGCATGTCCATTGAGTTGCAAGGCTGACCTAGGGGAAGGTTTTGTAGTTCTTGGTTGAGAAAATCAGTGAGAGAAAAATCAGCTTTCGGGGTTCACCTCCTGCCATTCTTCCCTGACCATGGACTGGCCATGTGCATCTGGGCAGGTGGCCGGGCTTGTCTGGGACTGTGGGCCACAGCTCACCTAATGGGGCAGCCCCTTGAGGCTCTGCTCAGCCCCCACATCACTACTCTGGGATTAAGTCCTGGATCAGGAGGAGAGAGGGTGTCAGGGGGTCTAAGATCTGGGCCCTTGAGGGTGTGGAGGGCTTAGTGGCACCCTGACAAGGAGGGCAGCACAGGTGGGGCTCATGTGGTGGCCAAAGCTTGGAGGAGAAGGGAACGCAGCTACAGAGGGCTGGTTTGAGGGGCAGGGGCTGAGGCCCTTGAGGCTGGGCTGGCCCTGGGCACTTGTGGAGAGGGCCAGGGTGATTGGGGAGCAGGGTTTAGAGAAGGCTGCTGCAGTAGGGGTGCCCTGCTGACCTCTGGGATCTCACTCACAGGCGCCCTGACACCTCCTTCCTCTGGTTCACGTCCCCGTACAAGACCATGAAGTTCATCCTGTGGCGGCGGTTCCGGTGTGCCATTGTCCTCTTCATCATCCTCTTCATCCTCCTGCTGTTCGTGGGCATCTTCATCTACGCCTTCCCGGTGAGCGGGCCTGAGGGGAGGCATGGAGCCTTGGTTTGATGAGGGAGACGTAGCCTCCACTCTGGGGGGTTCCTAGTCTGGGAAGGAGACACAGTCCTACCCTTGGAACAGAGTCCCAAGGCAAAGTCCTCATAGTCCAGTGGGAGAAACTGAGTCCTTGCCCTTGATGGGAGACACAGCTGTGCTTGGCAAGCCCTTGGGAGGTGAGGCTTCTTGGATAGGGGTAGGCAGGGGAACCTTGTTGAAGGAGCATGTGAGGCTGGGCATGGAAGGGAAGGGAAGGTGCATGTGGCAGAGCAGAGAAGAAGGCCCCTCATTTCTGAGAATGGCTCCTTTGAGGGCCAGAGGAAGGGAGGAGCTGGGCTGGGATAGAGCGTGCCCTGGCTCCTGCAGCAGGGTGGGCAGGGCGCCGGCCCAGAAGCCTGTCACTTGGCATGGTGCACCCTGGGGGTCCCTCTCACCTGGTGAGAAGCCAGATGATGCCTGAGTCACACTAGTGAGGGCTGCACCCCCAGCTCCACTGGGCCCCTCCCAAGGGAGGAGGGTCTGCATCTCTGTTCCCTGCCTGTTCTTCCTGGTCCTCACAGCTCAGCTCATGAGGGTAACCTTGAAGATGCTCCAGTCCCCACTCTGAGTCACTAGTACTTCAGACCTCGAAGTGATCATGGTGTGTCTAGGCTGACACCTGATTTGTGATGTTTTTTAAATTTTAAAAAGCTTTTTAGTATGAAAATTTGAAACCATATGCAAGTAGAGAGAATGGTATGATCAACAACTCCATGTCATCCTGATTTTAACAGCAAAGAAATAGACACCTAGAGAAGGGAGGGGGCTGGTTCAGGTCTGAGTGGCAGTATGTGTCTGGCGCCTCACCAGGCTTCTAGGCTCCATCCTGGTCAGCACCAGGCCGCCAGCCCCATGCATGTCCCCACAGCAAACAGTCTGCTCTGGGGATTCCTCACCTGTGCACTCTTTGCTTTGTGAATCCTCCAGGAGGACAGAGAGCTCTCTCCTACGGTGGCTGGTAAGGCCTTGTATCAGTAGAGCATGCTTTCTGTGAGCAAGATGGTTAAAACCTCAACGCCATCCCCTTCAGTCCCTAATATCAGGGACTTTGAAGAACAGCAGAGGGGACTGTCTGGTGTGGACACCTAGGCCCTAGCCACCCTCTGGGCTCTGGCAATGGTTGCTTGGAGTGCCAGGCTGAAACGTGTTCTGAGGCTCAGCAAGAAGAGTCATGGCCAATTGGCCAAATATGGCTGCACTCCAGGGGTGGGTTCACATCACAGGGAATTGAAGCTTGTACAATTTGAGGGGCCTTCTTGGAGCAAAGGAAGACAAAATGATAAATACAGGATTAGATATTGGGAAGGGCATGAGCAAGCATGCAGCTCTAGGGCCCCATGGCCCGTGGTGCCCTGGGACCTGGGATCAGGCCCCGGACTCTACCTGGTGTTCCCCTGTTGGACAGGTGCAAGGGGCCGCATTGGAGGGGAGCGGTTCTCCTCGTCTGGCCTGCCTCAGGCTCACACCTCTCATTTTGAGTACTCAGTTCCAGTGAAGACTTTATTAAGCATGGGGTGTGTGTCTGGGAGGCAAGGGTGTGTGGTGGGGATGAGGGAGGTGATGAACTCGGGGCCACTGGGAAGCTCCGTCCCGTGGGGAGACAGTGAAGCCAGTGAGCATGGCTTCGATCTGATGCCCCATCCTGGGGCTTGGGCCCGGGTTGAGGCAGAGGAGAGCTGGTGCAGACTCGTGCTCCTCAAGGGAGTCCCATGTGCAGGACGGAATTCTGGGCATGGAGTCAGGAGGTGGGGCTGGCCTCTGGCCCTGCCAGTGACTTCCTATGTGACCTCAGCAAGGCCCTCTTACCTGTGTGAGGAAGGGCTGGACTAGGTTAGCTCTGCCCTGTGGGACCTGCACTGTGGTCAGGGGAGCTCTTTGGTCTTATCCCTGGGTGCACTGCATGTCAAGCCAGCCCCCTGCAAAGAGCCGAGGGGAGGGCAGCGGCAGGTCCGAAATGTATCACTACTGCCATTTCTCTGCCCAGCCCCAGCCCCTGGCTTGTGGGGATCTGCCCTGGGAGGCATGTGGGGGGCAGACTAGGCCTTCAGTTGCTGGGGAGGAAGGCCCTCCTACCTGGCTGGGAGTGGGGGGAGATTTTCAGTTACTTTCAGCCCATGGTACATTCTTATCTCTAGGCCACCTTAGCCCCAGGCCTTGTGGGTAGTTGCTGAGGAGCACTTTGGCCAGTAGCCCTGGTCTGAGCCCCTCCCCTTGTGTCCTGGACCTCCAACAGCAGCCCCATTCTCCTTGAGTTCTTCTAGAAATTGTCCTCTTTAAAATACCAACTCTGCCTTTCTCCTCCCAGAGCTAGCATGTGGGGGTTAGATCTAGGTGAGCAGTCCAGGGCTCATGGGCAGCCCAGGCCCGAGGCTACAGACTGTTTTTGTTTATAGGCCTTTGCTACAACCTGGGCAAACCCTGATTCCCTCCAGCCAAGTTATTCAATCACCTGGTGGGTCCCAGACCCTGGCCTAGCTTTTAGGCCTGGAGGGGAGAGGGCCTGGTGGAGAGGGGCACCAGGCCAGGGCAGCTCCCTTCCAGTTGGCCTAATCTCCTGCCCTCTTGGAAATTGCCCTGGGAGGGGGACAAGGAGGGCAGCCTGTCTGATTCCTCCCAGCTCCCCCACCAGAGCCAGCTGGGAGCAGGGCCAGCGTGGGGAGGCAGGAGGCGATCTGGCGGGGAAGGAGCGGCGGCTTTGTTTCCAGAGTTGGCTTTCTCGGGCGGCGCTGGGGAACATACTGTCCCAATTAGGAGCTCTGTGTTGTGTTGTATGTGTTTTCATGGTTTTTTTTGCAGGGAGGAGTGGGGAGAGGAGGTTCCTGTCAGTCCTGCGGCAGGCAGGGCTTAATCAGGGATGACCCATCTCTGGTTGTGGCCTGCACCACGGGTCACCCCCATACAGCCAAGCCCCCAACTCTTACTGCCTTCTGGACAGGAGTGTGGTGGCCAGTGAGCCCTGGGTTCCCATGTGGGAGTATGGGGGGCAGGGAGAATCATGGTGGTGCCTTCTGGCCACCTGTCTGATGAAGAGGCCAGGGCAGGCCTGCCCCTGCCAGGCCCTTCGTGATCAGAGTCTTTTTGGCAGCTGGTTGAACCTGTGAGCGGGCCCTGGATTGATGGGGGTGGAGACAGAGGAGTTCAGGCAGCTGTGGCCCCAGGCAGGAGGGAGGGTATGAGTGGAGTCTCAGGAGGATGGGGCTGTGTGAATGGGGAGAGCACTGGGAGGGTGCGGTATTGAGCCTAGTGTGGGTGGGAGGGTGCTGCGGGCCAGGTGCAGGCAGGTGGTTGAGTAGGTGGGCCCCCTGTCCCAGCCCCGTCCCAGCCCCCACCCCTCCCAGCAGCTGTCACCACGTGTCTTTGCCGCCTTCCTTCTCTAGAACTATGCTGCAATGAAGCTGGTGAAGCCCTTCAGCTGAGGACTCTCTGGCCCAGGACTGGCTGCCTTCTCTGCCCAACTTAGCCAGGCTCCTCCAGGCCCTACCATCCTGCCAGGTGGGCAGAGAGACACATGCTCCAAGAGTCGGTGACACTGAGTCCTGGGATCGTCCCCCTTTCATCATTTCTTTCTCCCCCAACCCAACCTTTTTGGATCAGCCCCTGTGTATTTCAGTATAAAACAGTTTGAACCACAGTGTGGCGTGTCTGTATCTCCGCAGTCCCTGGGGGGTGTGACTACAGGGGATGCGCCTGGGTGTGTGCTGCCTCTGGCTCAGAGTTTGAATAGAACTGCTTATCCTTGGCAAAGTGGGTTGGGGACGGGGTGTGTTTGAGGCTCGGTGTTCCGTCTGCCTAAAGACCCAGCGTGTTCTGCCTCTGCAGGACTTTCCCCTCTCCCCTGCCCCTCTTCACCTGGGCATCTCTTCCTTTCCTAGGCTGCCTGTTACCTGTACCTCCTGGTTGCTGTGGCCATGCCCCAGAAGAGGTTCTGCTTTATACACATGGAGCTCCACAGAAAGGGCTGGGCTGGAATCCAGGCAGGGCTTGCTGCTGGACCTCTGGTTATGACCTTATCCCCCATGTTCTTGGGATTTCTTGTGATACCCTCCCTCTGTTCCTCATCCTGCTTTAAAGATCTGGTCTGGACAGACACACTTTTTTCTTGTGGCCTGAAGCCTAGCATTAGCTGTGGGTCTGACATCTGCAAGAATCAGACTTAATGTACAGGAGCACCAGGAACATACTTAGAGAAAAAGCGAAGAGCATGAAAACATCATGTTTCCAGAATAGAGCCTTTGCTTCTCTTGCCCGAGGGGCTGGAAATCTGGAGCGCAGTGCTGGCTGCCTCCTCTCTTGCTACCCAGGAGGGCTTCTCCTGTTTCCCTCCGTGAGCCTGCTTCCCTGGCCCAGGCTCCAAGGCTCCTGAGTGAGCCTTCCACGCCCCCTCGGCTCGTCCCTGCCCTCTGGGACCCGGACTGAGGCCCTACCTCACTCCACCTGCTGGCAGAATGGAGGGGATTGGCACGGGGCTGCTGTCCTGGACCCCTGAGGGTAAGGGAGCTAATCTTGAACCTTGAGTGATTCTCTCTTGAGCAGAGGTTCAGGCTGGAGGTGGCCTTCCATGTCTAGGTCTTCATGAACCTTGGGCACCTGAGTGGTCAGTCCTGAAACCCTGACATGTGAACCCTGGAGCCAGGTGGCCACAGTCACACAGAACGTGCAGCAGGGCCCAGGGCCCAAAGCTCTCCCCGGGAGGTCTAGCTGGTGGTGAGCCTTCCCCGACTGCCCACGGGGCACACTGTGCGAGCCTGTGTGGAGGCACTGAGGATCAGCTATCCTACAGAGGAGATGGGAGGTGAGAGGAGGAAAGATACAGCTGCAGTTTCAGGAGGTACTGAGAGCATTAGAGGCCGTGGGAGGCCTGAGGTGTGTGAAGGCAGAGAGGAGGAAGCAACTGGGGAAGGAACGATTGGAGACACAAGGGAGAATATGGGGTAATTAATGGAACCATTTCCTAGAGAAGCAGGGCAGGGTGTTAGCTTTGGAAAGAAAGTTCTCTTTTTTTTTCCAGGCATAGGAAGGCAAGAGGAAATAAATGTATACTATATAACTGTCAGTGAAGTTAAAACAGTTTTGGGTGACATTGTCACCCACTCATTAATATTTTCATTTATTCATTTGTTTTTTCTTGGTGCGCTTGAGTGGCAGATAATAGAAAACCTTACTTAAACTAGTAAAAGGAATTTAATGGCTTTGCAGAAATAAAACATTCAGAAGGACTAGCTAGCTTCAGGCCAGGTTCCATCCAGCTCCTCAACACAGTCACCAAAACCTTGCATACTTTCTCTGCTCTGCTCTCTTCTGGGTTGGCTTCAGTCTAAAGCTGGCTTCATTCCTAGAGCTGGGGTTGAATCTGCTCCTTGGGACTGTATAAGCCACCAACCAAAACTCAGGAGGATTGATTGGATGGTGAGGAGACACCATGTCCACCGAACATTTATTAAGATACTCCACATGGCAGCCCCAGAGCAGATTCTGTGGATGCCACAGTGAATTACCTACGGCTCCTGACCTTCCATAGCTCCCAGCATGGGGGGAAAAGTGTATCAGGAAACTACAGTTATTTGTCCCTTTATAGGAGTAGCAGAGAAGGGGCACCCGCTCCTCGTGGGCAGGGATTTGTCAGAGAGCCAGGCTAGTTCACTGCAGGAAGGCATGGCTGGGAGTTGAGAAGGAGGGAGGACTGTAAGAGCAAGGCCAAGCGTTGAAGCCCCTTGTGTGTGCAGCCGAGGAGTCTGAACTTCAATCTGGAGGCAAGGAAGAAGCACAGAAGGACTTAAAACTGAACTGGCCTTGATCAGAATCATGGGTTTTGAAAAATCATTCTAGTCCAGTTCTTAGGAGACAGGAGTCCCCTGGGGGCACATGACTTCAGATTATAAAAGCCTTATGGCTTTTGAGGGGGTGAGGGTCCAATGATCTCACCCAATTCTTAACAAGGACTGTGATCACAAATGGTGAAGAACAGTTGCTCAGGACGCTGTGTGGCCAGTTGCAGGCAGCTGTTCTAGAAGACTACTTCATTAGTCCAGAAGCCAACTGCGGAAGACCTGAAAGGCAGGGCAGGAGTCATTCATTCATGCTTTTCATTCAGTCATTAAAAATGGCTTTCTGTGTACTAGGCAGGGTGCTGGGCTCTAGAGATACAATATTGAGCAAGATAGAGGGTCCTGTCATTTCAGATCTCACAACTGAGTAGGAGAGGGAGGCAAATAGATGGGCAATTACAATGCACTGATGGATGAGCATGGGTTACAGGGTCAAGGGCAGGGTGTGGAGAAGACAATAGAGGAAACAGGGTGTGCAAACTCTAGTCATAGTGGAAAATGGTTAAATATCTCTAAGAATATCCATACGGACACAAAGAGAACAGTGGTTCTCAACCAGGGCCGATTTTGCCCCTCGAGGCACATTTGGCAGTGTCTAGAGACATTTTTGATTGCCTGACTGGAGGGTGGGGTGGAGCAGGTGCTACTGGCATCCAGTAGGTGCTGAACATCCTTCAGTGCAGAGGACAGCACTCCACCTGCACCCCATCCCTGCCCAAGAATTATCCAGTCTCAAGTGCTGATATTGTTGGCTATTGAGAAACTCTGGCATAGAGAGAGTGGCTTCCAGAGACATTAAGCAATTGGACTTTATAGGCCTAGGGGAGTGACCAGTTGGGGCTGGGGTTTCAGTGGGGTGGGATAGGAGATAGATGCCAAATGACTCCCGGTTGTCTGGCATTGTGAGTGGTGGTACCATTCATGAAGTTCCCTATGGCCATAAGCTGAGAAGGGAGCCCTACCCCAACTCTAAGGGGAGGTGTCTTATTATATCTGACCAATCTCAGCAAGCCATTATCCTGCCAGGGATTGGTTTAGGAAAAGGCATGTGACTCATTTATAACCAGTGAGCGGTGAGAAGAAGATGGTGGTGCTTATAGGGATGGGATGCAGCTGGGAAAGTTTCTAGGAAAGTTTTATCCTCAATACTAAAGGACACACAAGGAGACACATCTTCATCTTTTGCCTCCTAATCCCATTGTGGAAAGAGGTAATGGTTGGAGCCCTGGCTGCCATCTTGTGATCATGAGGTGCAAGCAGTCCACACAGAGGATGGCAGGGACCTCATTCTGGATGATGCTACTGAAAGAACCAACTCTGGAACTGCCCTTACCTCTAGACATCTTATTACATGGGATAATAAATTCTGTATTATTTAAGCTATCCTGTGCTACCCACAGCTCCTGGCCTCCTTGCTGGTAAGCTTCATTCTGCACCACCCCCACCCCCCCGGCCCCAAAGACTGTTTTTATTGCAGTTGTCAATAGCCAGGGCTGCTGTGTACAGGCACCGCATCTGCGACATCATGCATTTATTATTTATTATAACAATTTTCCTACAGATGGCGGTAAAGTGTTTTGTTCTAATAAAATCAGTGTGTTACAGTAATTTTCTGATAGAAGTGAACTACCTTGGGGAAGGGGCACCTTTTTCTAATCCCCACCAGGGCCCCAAGTAGCACTGGTTGTTAAATCTGTGGACAGCAGCTGGTAGGGCTGCACAGTCTCTCTGCTTGACTCACTTTCAGTTGGGGGCCATGATACCTCCTGACTTCCCTCCTCTCTCCTCTCTCCAGCCTCGCCTTCTCTACATCCTTCTTGAGGTCTACAGTGTTCCCCAAGGCTCTCGCCTGGCCCCTGTTCTCACACTGCACACACCTCAGCAATCTCCCCCACTCCTAGGGCTTCAGTTGCCCTCCAGAGGCCACTGTCACAGCATCCCTACCTCCAGCCCTGTTTCTGCCCTGTGCCGCAGCTGCATTATCCTGCTGCTTCTCAGTGGGCATATCTACCAGAGCAATGCACAGGCACTCAGATGCAAGACCTCCTGCTCAACATCGCCATCTTTTTACCCGATGAAAGAGTTCCTGCTCTGCTGTTCCCTTCATGTACCCAGTCACTGGAGCTGAGCATGTGGGAGGCTTCCTGAGTCCTACCTCCTCCTAAACTCACATCTAAACCATCACCAAATCCCACAGATTCTGGCTCTTGGATCCCTGAATCAAGCTGCCTCTCATCACCACCACCTCCCCTTAGGTCAGGCTGACATCACGGCGCCCTGTGCCACTCCTCAGCCTTCTTCCTGTCCACTCCCTGATTCACTGTCCACGAGCAGTCACATCAGATCCAGCCATGGATTTCCCCCATCCTCAGGAGGCAGGACAACCATACCAGCATGCGGCTCCTCCAGAGGCCGCCCCTGGCTTGCCTTTCCTGCCTTATCTGTTGTCTTTTTCTCTGCTCTGCTGAGTGGAACCATTTGCAGACCTGGCCTGTGCCCATCGCTCAAGTCTCAGCTCAGTCCCTTCCTCTGGGGCATTTCCTCTGACCCACTCTGGTGCCCCACCACCACTGAAATCCAGCAGACTTGACTGTCGCTGCCTCCCCCTGCTCTTATTCTGTGCCTCCAGGGCTGAAATCACATCTCAACCCTTAATGAGATGTCTGCTTCCTTCACTGAAGGGACTTTACTAAGTGTTTCACTGCAAGTTCTCTTTAAATAGCCAGGCCCTCAGAGCGATTTCAAAAGGGATTTTTATGTCCTGAAGTTCAGTTAGTTCTCAACATTTGAGACCCAGTCGTGCTGCACGGTGGAGAATAAGTCTCATCTCTGTTCAAAAATGGTTCAGTAAAACTTGATAAGCCTTTTGTATCCAGAATATTCAGTTCCCCGCCTTTATTTTCTCTACTGGTGTTTCGGAGAGAGATGTTCTGCACGCAGGCACACACACACACCATTTCCTGTGCCTTTGCCAGGGCTATGCTGCAGCCCAGGATGGGGTGACAGGGAGACTGGACAGACAGAAAGAGCTATGAGGACAGCTTTGACCTGCGCGGCCCTGGGCCCGCATTCACTTCCCCATTTCACCTCCACTCCCAGGAACTCAAACTTGTCTCAATCCTCTCCCCATGTGTTTCATTAATATAGGATTATGGGATTTCCAGGGGCCCAGGTGGGCGTCCCCAGACAGTAACACGGGGACAACCCAGGAAACGTTTGCTGCTGGTGGAAGAGAACAAGGGAAGGGCCAGGGTTCAGCCTGATGTGCTTGCCCTTAAATGGCAGCTGAGACTCTGGGAACGTCTCTCTCCCGCTTTCCCTGTTTTTCTTTCCTCTGGGACAACTAACTGCCGCTCCTATCCCCTGGGGCTTGGCCAAGTGTGGCTTTCATACCATTTCTCTACCTTTGTTTTGGTCTTTCTTTTTCATAGTGTGTGTGTATCACAGAGAGAGGACAGATGAGGCAGATGGAGAAGGAGACAGAGGAACAGAGACAGGGAGCTGAGGACTGCCGGTGGGGACAGGAAAGGGCAGGACTTCACAGGCTGCTGGTGCCTTTGCCCAGCTGGCCATCCCTCCGCCAGCGGCCGGAGCTGCTCCCTCTGCCCTCCTCACTGGCACCCCACTTAATCTATTAGAAACAAAGCATGGGAGGGAGAGAGACAACCCCATCCCTTACCCTACACAGGTGCCTGCAGATCCAGGTGGGGAAGCCTCCTGTTGTGTTTCCTGCGTAGCCCAGTAAGTCACTGTAGGCTCCACCCATTACCTGGCAGGGCTGGCTTGTGTGTGTTTGGGGGTGGACTGGAGTTGGGGGGCAATGGTCCGTTCTGCTCCTGGGCAGAGGGGCTGAGTGTGTGCCCCAGCCCGGCTGGTCCTCCGTGTTTCCACCATTGGCCTGGGGCCAGAGCCTGACCATCCCTTCCCCCAGCAGGCTCACAGAACCTCAGTGGGGCCCTCCTTGGGGTCCCTTATGCAGCCCCACCCACCACGGCCTCCTGGGCCCCCTCCATCCCCCTGCTGGCTCAGGTCTACATAGGAAACTCTTCCCTTTCCTGCTGGCTTCAGCAGAGATGCTCTGGTATCTTTTCAAAAGGAGTTTGACCAAGAACCAAGGGTGAAACAAAAGACCCAAATGCACAAAGAAATCACACACTTATAATGGGTAATGCATTTTTTAAATACCTGCTGGTGTATTTTGCCTCTTTATGATGTATTTTTCCCCCTCCTTTTCCTGGAGTACTTTTGCCATCCAGGCTTACCACCCGGAGAAGAAGAGGGTGTCAAAGGCCCCTCATGATAGGGAAGACTGAAGGACACTACTGTCTGAAATACTCGGAAAGCACCCCTCTCAGATCTCTGTGGACATGGAAATGCAGAGAAGCTTGCCTTGGGAGCTCTCCCACCGTGGAGACCCAGACTCTCCTGGAAGACAGTCTGGGAGCAGAGCTTCAAGGGCCAGAAGGCTTCTTCAGGCTATAAAAGGATTCCCAGCCTGACAGATTCTGGGCAACAGAGAGATTTTATTAGAGCATGGCTTTAGAATCAGGCAGCGAGCAGTTCTAGCCCTGCCTCTGCCACTTAGCAGTGGACCCTTGGATGGGTCACTTATTCTAGGCCTCCGTTTTCTTATCTGAAACAGAGTGATGGTGGGCTGTTCCTCCCAGGGCATTTGAGGGCCGGCTGCAATGATGCCCAGTGCCTCACATAGTGCGAGCGCTGGACTGCAGGCACTGGCCCAGACGCCTGCACAAGCAACATGCACTCTGGTGTGCACCCTGGCGCCTGCACAAGCAACATGCACTCTGGTGTGCACCCTGGGCATGCATGCTTTCTCTGTGTGTGTATGTGTGTTTCACACTGTCGGCCAGAATATTCTCTTGAAACCTAAGCAAAAAGGAGTGTGTGAATGTGGCCATCATCAGGGATAAATTAATCCCAGACATGTGAAAGGTTTTCTTTTTTCATTCTCCGCCCTACTGCAAATTCAATTATGACTCTTTGCCAGCTACTGAAATGAGGGGACAAGTAAGTACGTGGCTGGGCCTGGAAAATGGGGCAGGGCAGGGGACCCTCCTTGATCCACACCCTCTTCCCCCTTCCCTGTTGTCCAGGATCCAGGAAAGAGTTGCAGGCATTCTGGGATTCCCCACACCAGTTGAGCCTTGGGGCAGCAGCCAGGTGCCATCCAAAAACGTGGAACTGGCAGAAATAGAGCTGCCCTCTGAGAACTGAACTAGGAAATGACCGCACATGGGGCCAGAGCATTGGCTGGCAAAGGCTCCCTGATGAGGTGACTGGTCCCAGGGCCTGGCAAGCCTTAATGGTGCACGTGTTCAGCCCTCTGGGAGAAAAGCCCGAGTCTCAGACACTGACCTTGACTGTGTCTAGGGAAGAGAACTTGGTGAGGGGACCCCTTGGCAAGGCTTTCTATCCCCCATGGCTACTGGGGCCTGGGCCATGAAACATTTAATTTATCCCTCACTCTTCACACTCACGGGCACACTTCTCATGGTGTTTTGGCTTCTAGCACAGATCTGCTTACAGGAAATGCATGTGCCGTCATGCTGGGGCAAGCTGCGGGGCACACTGAACACTCACACACTGGCATTTTGGTTTATATACCCCTCTCTGAGCTCCATTAATGAGTTCTGCACCTTGGAGCTGGACTCACTTCTCTCAGACCTACGTAATCAGGGTCTTAGCCTGCAAACATGCCTGGAGGTGTGGGGAGCCCTCTGGGTCAAGAATGCCCCTTGGGAAGTCTGCTGGAGGAAATGGGACCAGCATCTTGGTGGCACCTTTCCCTTGGGCTGGGGAGATTTGGGCCTTCCTGTCTGCCACACAGGGATGAAGCACTTCTCTCTCAGGCCAAGGAGTGGCCTGCTGTGACAGCACTCCTCATCTTATTCTTCTAGAAGCAACTGGCGGGGAGGGGAATTGAATTACTCTAAGAGCATTGCAGGGATGGGGGACAGACATGTGGGTGAGCCTATGAGAGAAGGTCAGGTGAGGCTGGTTTTGAAAGAACAGATGTATTGGCGGAGATGGAGTTTTGAATGGGGGCGTTGTGAGTGGGCAGTCAGGGAGTTTGGGGCTGTGAGGTGAGGTGAGGGGTGGGGGTGGGGTAAGGATGCCCTGGGATCTTGAATAGAGAGACTTGAAGCAGGGCGCTAAGAGGTCCTATGGGGACAGGCCCGCGGGCCTACAGGAGCAGGCCTCAGGCTGGAGGTAGGGCTCTGTCTGCCCTCCCCTGGGACCTCTTATATAACCCAGCCCTGACCACGGAGAGCTGGATTTTCACAGTTGGGCTCAAGGTGCCAGAAGAATGAGAAAAATGGGCTGGAGGGAACCCCTGCACCACAGAATAGGAGGGAAGAGCCCAGGCAGGCAGGGATGTGTGTGGGCAGGGGACTGGGGTCGGGGCTGTGTCAGCCCTGGTCAGCCAGTGCCGGTCCTGGAGGAGCCTGGTCCTGCCTCCCCAGGGTCTCTGGGTGGGGGAGGGTGGGGGGTGCTCCACTCCATATTCAATCACACTGTCTTGGAAGGCTGAGACCCATATCCCACCAGGCCAGGCTCCCGGGCCACGGCTGCACCCAGGATGAGCATGTCCCCACCTACAGCTCTCCCTCGGGTTCCCAGTAGGGTAGAGGAACTCAGGGAGGGGGCATGGGGGCAGTGTGCCCCTGGGAGAGCCGCCTCTTCCCGGGCCTCCAGAGTTGGCTCAGTTCAGGGGTGAGGATGAGGTTGGAGGCTGGTTCCACCTCCAGGCTGGTCAGAGGAGGGAGCCGTTGGCTACTGAGTGCCAACTATGGACCAGGTGCTATGCCAGGTATTATCACCTTTAATCCTCACCTATGAGAGGTAGTATTTTGATCTCCTCTTTAGAGACCAGAAAACTGAGACTCAGGGAGGCCACACAGCTGTTACGGAAAGGTTAACCCAGACATACTGACTCAGTGCTGGCTCGTTCTCTCCCCTTATCCAGGTCCAGCCCCCTCCCTCCCCTACCAGTGTCAGGAGTGGTAAACTTCAGGATGGACCTAGAGCCCCTGGCTGGTGGGTAGGTAGCTGGGAGTCAGGAGGCAGGTGGGTGTAATTGTGTGTGGAGGCAGCATTGGCTCTGTAAAGTTCTCAGTTTTTTCATTCACTCAACAAATATGTACTGAGCACCTGTCATGCCCAGGCTCTTCCCTAAGCACAGAATTCTTGCCCTTGTAAAACCTCAGACAGTAGTAGGTAAATGCAGGGAGGAGAGTAAGGCGGGAGGAGGAGATAGAAATGCAGATGGGTGGGGAGTGGCCTTTTCCTGTAAAACTGGGGAAGAAGTCCTCTGAAAATGCGGCCAAAGTGAGCAAACCCTGGCTGGAATGAGAGAGGGAGCCTTATAAAACGGGGCGAGGGCCTCTGGGCAGAGGGCAGAGCAAGTGCGGAGGCCCCGAAGCAGGACTGAGCTTGGCTTGCTGGTCTCACGTGGGCCCCTGCCGGGAGTTGGCCCTCACCCCCTATATGGCTTACCTTAAAGTCCTTCTGGGCCAGGGGAGGGGGTGTCTCAGCAAGTGTCCCTGCAGTTCGTTCCCATCACTCCCTGTGTTGCCCTTGTCTGGAGCGAGGTGGGTGTCCTCCCCCCTCTAGGCTAGGCTAGGCATGGACAAGTGCCCCTTGGCCGTCCTCTTTCCCATGGCTGGCCGCCTGGGGAAAGGCTCCCAGTGTTGGCACTCCTCACTGTCCGCTCTAACCCCTGTTGAGGATTCAGGCAACACACTATTTCCAGATGGGTAAGGGTGACTATTTTATTTTTAAAAATAGCTTTAATTGGTTTTTGTCTTATTGCAAAAGTAATATATGTTCATTATAGAAATTTGAGAACATGGCTAGCAAAAGGAAGATTATAAAAGGACCACTAATCCCATTACCCAGAAAGAACCACTGTTGGCATTTGGGTATCTCTAGAATTTTCCATGTGGGTATGACATATATGTTGGTATTTTTAAAGGATATGATCTCACTGTACATAGTGGTTTGTAACCACTATACTGTGAGAGTCCATTTGCATTGCTGAATGTGCCCCTACGATGTGGCTCTCTGGTTCCAGAACAGCCAATTGTTTGGATAAGCCATGGTTTATTTAGCCAGGCTCCTGTTGATGGACTTTTAGGTAGTTTCCCTTCTTTTTGGAGCATCTCCTCTCCAGTCTCCTCTCCAGGACTCTTCCCTGGCCATTTTGGGAGGCTACTTTGAAGTGTCTAAGCAAGTCCTTGGGATATGAGGCAGGATAAGATGCCTCCCGATGCCAGGGGTCAGGACAGGGGTATAGGCTGGGTGGGTGGGTCCCTGCTTCTATCTCTAGGGCAGAGGGCCCTTTGTGTCTTTCAGTTCCCCCAGGCAGACTCACTGAGAACACGGAGCAGGTAGGATTTAACTAAGAAAACCATGTTTCTCATAGCTGTCCACAAACCCTGCTGCTTTTGGAAGAAGGAAACTCTCATCTTCTAGACTGCCCACAATGGGCTGGGGTTGGGAATGGCAGGAGGGGACGGTAGGGGGACTGGAGACCCAGGATGGATGGGGATGGGGACAGGGGGCTCAGGATCACCTGCCCTGAGGTGAAGGTCCTGAGAGGCCGCAGGCTGCTGACGGTTCAGGAGGCACTAATGGAAAGCTGTGGGTGGTGGTGGAGGAGGGCTGGGGGAGGTGTCAGGTGGGGCCGCTCAGGACAGTGCAGATGCAGTATGGCCAGTGAGGCTGGCTGGGCCTCACTGATGGTGAAAAGCCTTCATTGCCATCTCCGTGAAGCCACTCTGATTTTACCCGGGTAGGCTGGGAGCCCTTGCTTCCATGGTTTGTGTCCCCCAGAGCCCCTCCACTGCATCTTACCATCCCAGCAGTCATTTGGGTCAGCCTGAACTTGACTACCAGCTCTCTGGCTCCTCTCCCCACCATCTGTGAGGCCTGAGGCTGTTCTGTTCCCACCTCAAATGTGGAAGCATCTTATCTCTTTTAGAGAGTCACTGTGAGGTCCAGAGGCCAGGAATGTAGAATGTGGTACAGAGTAGATGCTTGAGTTTTTAATATTTCTTTTACATTTTCTTCTCCTACCTTTGTCTAAGTCTTTGAGGGGATATAAAATGTCTTCTCTATTCCTGTGCTTTCCCATCCCCACTGGTGGTCTCTGTGCACCTTGGGAGGTACACAACACTTCACTGGGGCATGGGAAGAAAATATTTACAAAATCAAAGCTATTACTCTTTCCTGATACGTAATGCTTGGATTGATCTTGGACATCTCCTGGGCCAGGTGTTAGATGGTACAGTTTTATGTCAAGTAGATAGGTGTCCTGAGGAAGGGGTATTAGTAGCATTACCCTTATTTATCAGCTTTTGGTGTGAGCCTGGTTAAGAGGATTTACAGATTACATTATCTGGATTTAACTGAATAACCCTCACAAAAATGGATACATGGTTTAGAAAGATTCTTGCTGTGAAACACTCTGACTGAAGATAAGCTAACAAAGCAAACAGAAGAGAATAGCAGATTGAAGATAAGCTAACAATGCAAACCAGAAATGCCCCCCAGAGCTCCTACACCAGCAAGGGCTCACCTGACAAGTTGAATTAGGAAGTAAAAAACAAGGACTTTATCATATCTGACAAGAGGTCAGGGAACAAACTGAGGTATCAAGAGGACTAGTTGAAATTAGGATTTCATCCACTACATGTACCAGCAAGCCTTGTCCTAAACATAGCGCGTGCCTCCAGATATTAACTCATGGCAGTCACACAGGGATGTAATTCAGGGAGAGATAAGGAGACATATACTGGGAATGCATGCTCAGGCTTTTCACTGATAGAGGTTTGCTATCAAAAGGTTTGGAGACTGCTATCCCAGAGCCTCCAGCACCAGGCCTGGCATGCGGCGGGGCTCAGATAGCTTGTATAGGGCTGACCTGTGCTTTATGTGAGTGTGGGTCTGCCTGTAAGAGGTTTTCATGACTGTGTAAGTATTCTGCTCACCTCCCTTATTTGGAGCACTCTTCCCTCCTCCTCCTGCCCATGCCCCGGCCCCCCAACCACTTTTCCCCTCATTTATCCTCTCCTGCCAATGGGTGCCCCTGCCTGACCCTCATTAACTCAAAGTGTAAAAACCATTTGTCTACAGCCCCCTTCTCCCTGTCCTCCCCCAGATGGGGGCTGGGGCCAAGCCCTGCTTTCCTCCCATGGGCTGCTCTGTGGTTTATGAGCCAGATCTGAATCTGCTAGGCCCCCTAGAACAGGCTGGACTTGTTAGGGGATGGTTCCTGGGCTGCTCAAAGACCAGCAAAGAATGAGAGATGGCCCTGGGGGAGCCCAGATCTGACCTGCATTCCTCAGAAATGGCAGGCCTGCCTCAGAAGGCTGCACAGGTCGCTCACCACATACCTTTTAGAGCCTGATTCTTCAGGGCAATGACACTCCCTCCCGAGAGCGCTGTAGGACACAAGCAGGGCAGCCATGTATGGCCATTCTTTCCAGCTCTCTCCTCTCCATCCTTGCCCTAGCCACCAGGACCTCTGCCCTCAATCTTCCCAGTGACAGGGAAGAAGGAGAGAAAATTGGGCCTGGAATTAAACCAATTAATAAATGTTAAGTGCTTAGAACTCTATGGAAGTGTGTTGTGATGCCAAGGAGGTGATGGATGAATTAGAAAGTGTGGCCGTAGCCTTTGGGAGGCAGCCCTGCAGGTCCTGAGGATGGGGAACAATCCACACATGAAGAGGGAGCCTGCCTAAGTGGGAGTATCTGGCGTTGCCGGCAGTGCATGGCATCCCAAGGCCCTCTTGGGGTCTCCTCTGGGGAAGGGGCCCCCTATCCTCCTCTGGCTCATTCTTAGCAGGTTGCCTGCGGGACTGGTTGCCTGCCTTCCTTGGGGCAGCCCAGCAGGGCAGGCAGAAGTGAGTGGGGAGGGTATGCCCTCCGCCTCCCTGTGCTGGCAGGAGCCCAGAGGAATCCAGGAGTCAGAAGTGGATGCAGGGTTTGTGGCCAGGAGCCCAGCCTGGCCCTGTACAAGAAGGCGTTTGAATTTTCATTGCTCAGGGGGAGCCACAAATTGTCTTGATGAGTGTGGTTGGGTTTATGTAACGTAAACACCTCAGCACACAGATTCCCCCTTGCAGGGACGACAGGTGGGGGCCTCATAGGCTGGCTGCTAGAGGCAGGGAATGGGGACTAGCCAGCCTCACCCAGGAGCTGGGTTGAGGCCACCCAGGCAGGATGCCAGGTTGGTGGAGTCTGAAATTCCCCCATCAGTGCTTCGTTCACTGGCTTAGGCAACTATGTCTCCTGGCTTCTTATTTAAAGGCCAGCCCACTCTCCACTCCCAGCTGAGGGTAACTGAGCAGGTCTCCCCATTAGGTAAGTAAGTTGAGACCGTCTCTTCCTCCCTCTACCCATCCTGACTTTGATGGCCCAGAGCACCCTCAGGGACCTGCAGGGAGATGGGTGGTAGTCCTTAACTAGAAGCAAATAGTGGGAAGGGGCTGGGTTCCACAGGTCTCCAGTCTTGTCACATAGCAGGACCTGAGGGTCAGGACAGCAGAGCTGGGGTGGACTCAGCACCCACCTGGACCTCTTCCAGGGAGGCTATCTTGTGTCTTGGCCTGCGGTAGGCCTGGCCTGGTGCTTCTCGGGTGGGCTGTGTGGGTGGCCCTCAGCTGCCCTGGACTGCGACACCCCCTGACCCCCCACCTTCCCTTGTGGCCGTCCCAGCCCAGGCCCTCTCTGGCCCCTGTGGTGGCTGCTCTGGGGCTCATCAGAGCCACCGCTGACCTGCCTTCCCACCCACCAGGGTAAAAATAGATGTTTCCACCATGGCCACCTCCACAGCCTCAACTTTCTCCTACTTGAGTCCCTGCCAGGGCTTGCTTAGTGAGGGAAGCACGAACGGCAGAGCTGAGCCTGGTGTCAGGGCCCTGCTGAGGAGCCCAGCTGCTCCTGAATGGCTCACTGTTCCAGGAGGTGACCCTGTGAGTCCCTCCTCCAGGCCTGGGGCATGCCCTGTTCACCCGGGCCTCTTCCCATTTCCCTGGGCTTGCCAAGCTCATCTGGCTTCTCAGCCCCTTGCCCTCCACCTGGGTGGATGAGCAGTACTTAGTCCCTTCCTTGCAGGGCCAGCTCTATGCATGTGTGTATACAGGGCCTGCATGGAGAAGGGCCTTCACACTTGGTTTAATATTGTGCTGTCACCACCTTGAAATTCTTAATAACTTTCAAACAAAGAGTTCTGCATTTTTATTTTGTACTGGGCCCCGTGAATTACATAGCCAGGCCTGCTCCAGTAGGAGCCACTAGTCTGACCCAGGTCTGATGGGAGAAGCACATCCTTTCCCTTGGGAAGCCCATAGATGGGAGCAAGAGGCTTGGCAGCTCTTAGAATCCACACTGTCAAAGGGGCACACATGGTCTTTGGCCCTTGTGAGACCCAGGCCAATGCGGGAGACATAATCCTTGCTGTCAGGGAGCTTCAGGTCTCCAGCCCTGAGCTTGAGAGCTCTGAGATTAATGGAGAACGCATAGCTCTGCCCTTAGCACACATTCTAAAGCAGAAGAGAGAGCCCCTGCCTTTAATGAGTCAAATGGTGGTGACACAGCCCCCTGCCCTTGGAGACCCTAGGCGTTGATGGCA